GCAGGATGACCTATTGATTGGTAATGTTGTCTTTTTTGTAATTCTTTTAGAATCAAGTATTGTTGTTCTTCCACCACATTTTGCATGGATTTTGGAAAATTTTCTAACATGCTAAATTTTGTGAATTTAACATTATGTCCTTGTCACTGAGGTAACAGTATAGGGGTTCCATCACACTGGAGCTGGACATCAAGGTTTTGGTCAATACAAATACATTTTTTTATAGATTTAAATAGAATGGATGCCATTATTTTACCTTGAGGGGGCCCTTTCAGCCAACACTTTCTCAAAAAGGGAACATTAGCAAAAAGCAGGAAAAAATTAAAGACACATTAGTAAATAGTGAATGAGGAGACAAAATTGGAACATGATTAAAATAGATTTTAATTATAAATAAATTAACAACTAAAAACAATATGATGTTCCAAAAAGAGTAAAAGTGTTCCTTTTGTTTACATAGGCTTAGATGACGGGACTTAATATAAACAGCCTCAAGAACTCAAAGATGGTGAACCAAGCGAGCACTATGTAAGATGGAAAAAAAATGCGTCATTATAATCGGCGGCACAGTCAGGATTGTCTAGTCAATGTTGCCCAATGGAGGAATCATGCACCACTTGAGTGGTTCTTTTAACATGACTCTGGCTGCTAGAATGCAAAAAGGTGGGCATGTGTTGTGTGATACGCATTTCCAGCCTTTGATTGGTCCATCCAATATACACCACATCACAATGGCATTTAAATTTATATATTACTGAGCTATTCCAAAAAAAGGACAACCAAACCTTGCTGAAGGATGAAAATGCAGATCTCGTCTGGAGCACAGTGCACAACTTGACAGCATTATAGCACAAAGTAACACAAGCCAAAATTCTGTCAGTGAGCAACTGGCACTTCCTGCCTAACCAAGGCAACTTTAGATAAATTGGGAACCAGCTTAGTCCTAGAATCACTGGTTCTTTAAACCATCTAATTTTTCTATAAATAACTCATCTAATGACATTAGTAGAATAATCATTACCTTTAAAAATTTCTTGGATCCTTGCAAGTTCTCCGTTTAACAAGCTAGGAGAACAAATCATCAAAACATGATGAACCAGGGTAGAAACTAGACCAATTTTGCAGGCCTTAGGAACAAGAGTTCCTACTTGTGTACAAACCTGTAAAAGTGGTTTTACAAAAGATACTGGTAACAAAAAAACCATCCTTTCATTCTACAAGAACATCTAGAAAGGGCAAAGTACCATTACTCTCAACTTCCATAGTAAATTGAAGGGATGGATGGAGTTCCACAAAAAAGATGGAAAATATAGATGGAAAATGTGTTTAAGGGTCAAAGACTATTCTATAAATTAGAATATAATCTTCCTTTTTTTAGATTCAAAACCGTTAGGACAACACTTTGCGTCTTCTAATAGAGTAAAATTCTTTATCGTATCAGTTGAAATAAAATCATGTAATTCATCAGTTTAGACCAGTCATTTTGGAGGCTTTCTAAATTCCCTTGTATTTTGCAAAAGAGACAGTTTTCTTATTTTTCCTGAATGTATTCTAGGTATAAATCCCAATTTAGTTTGTTTCGTTTTCATTTCAAAATAAATTTCTCTTCAAAATGTTACATACAGAAAACTGAATTTCTCGTAGGAAACCAATCAATAAGATTAATGAATTTTATCCATTTTTCTACAAGGTTGGATTTTCCATGAGGAAAAGAAAATATTGATACTTTTTTACTGTTAATAACGTATCTGCTAGAACAGCCAAATGTAACGCATTTGTTAACCATCTTTGTTAAAAAAAAATATCACAACAAACATTATAATTTAATCTTTACATGGAATGGACCATGAGGTAAAAAATTTACCTAATAATGTTCATTTGCAAAACAGGCTGTATACGCAATTGAAAATCGTAAAAGCCAGGTAACTCACAGCCATTTATAATTCATGGATTACTAAAAAAAAAAAAAGTTGTAAATATGCATTTTAGTGTCTATGGAATTGAAATAACAGCTGATGAATTTTACATTCTAAGTATTCAATTTTTAAAGTTACCCCCTGTTGAGGTTAGCACAACCATCAACATCCTCCAAACAGTTCTGTCTACCCATTTTCAATCACAAGACTTGAGTTAACATGTGGTGTATTTTTTAGGCACTTCCCTGCAGGGCCACATGTATTATCAAGGTCACCTCCCTAGTTTCAAGGTCAGAGCACTAATGCTCTAACCACTAGGCCCTTAGTTCTTAAGAAACACACTGTCTGTTCATTGTTAAATGATTAACTATGTGAAAATTCTGCATATTTAAAAAGATCAAAGACTGTTGAAGCCAAATATATTTTCAGACAATATTCACAATAGGTGCTTCTTAACTTTTAGCCTAAGTACTTCCTTAACTTAACATATTAAATACAATGGGATAAGAAAATGTACAATACTTTCTTCATTCTTAACAAATAATTTTGTTCATCTACTCTTAACTTAAACTCTGTTCACTTCTATAGATACTAGAATGCCTATATTCCTGTTCATGGTACAAAGTGTTCGACTTGTGTTAAATGTCAATGTTTATTTCCAAGTTTGCATTTGTGTGAAATTTAGATCATATTAGAGGTACAAAATTTAATTAAAGCAAAAAAAAAAAAATGAACATAATTTAAAAAACAAGGAAAATAACTTCAGTAATTGACAATACAAAATTAGAAATAAATACTAATAATAAAAGTAACCAACAAAATAAGCTAACTGGTTATCACTCCTCACTTGTCAGAACTCAATTGAGGAAAATAATGTTTTTGTACACTCCATCTAAAAAGGAAACAATGAAAGAAAATATATTTGTATCAATAAAATTGAGACAGGTATATTTTTACAATCAGCACACTATTATAATTGTGTGCTGTTATATCTGGGTATTGCAATCACAGAACACAACTTATACAAAATTAGGAGTATATATCTTGTCCTTCTGAGAAGAGATGTTCTCAGGTTGGTGTGGATTACATTTTAACTCTCATCTAAAAGTCCTTGAAACTATTTTTATCAAGACAACTTTATATAAACAGAAAGATTTGTTACTAGGACCGAATGTGATTTGTTTATAAAAATACACCAATCTCAGTATATTATTGGTCTGCGTGTGTTTTCTTTATCATGTCTCATGTTTCAAGTTTCCGTCAGGTTTGTCATATTCGCTTACATGCAAATACCATGTATGAATCGGTCTCCTTCCTCCAGCTATGGGTTAAATAGTAGAATTTGTATCTGGAAAAATCATTGTTAATCTTAAAAAATTGTTAATGCACTTTTTCACCCTTCAAAAAAAAAATTATTCTTTCAATTTAAAATATGTTTCATCTTTAAATAACCAACAAAAGGTTAAGCTGTAAAAACAATCAATCCTTTCAAATCAGTATACACAAAAATATTTTACTTTCCTCAATCAAATTCTGATGGGTGAGGAGTCATAACTAGTTAGCTCTTTCTCATTTATTATTATTATTTAAATTTCACATTGCCAACTACCATAGTTGTTTTCCCTTTTTGTCCTCTTAAATTACTAGGCTTGTTTGAAAATTAACAGAACTGGTGTCACAAACAATTTATTTCAATTCCAAACAATAAACTACATGGTTTCTCCTTCAAAGTAACCCCCCCCTCAAGTCTAATGTATTTTTCCATCCTTCTCTGCTATGCTCCTATGCGTTGTTGGAAGGATTCTTCTTCGATGCTCCTCAGCTCCGTCGTTACAGTCCTCTTGATGGCCTCCACTCCTTCAAAACAGGTCCCGTTGATGATCACCTTGAGCTTGAGGGGAAAAAAAAAAGAATTACATGGAGCAAGATCAGGTAAATAGGTACATTATTCCAGTTGGGCAATGTTCTTCTTGGCTAAGAACTGTCAGAGGTTCAGGGCATTGTGAGCAGGTGCATTGTCATACTGAAGCTGTCACTCTATTTGTCCTGCTATAAAAGCATGTGAAAAAAAGAAATGTAATGGTTGCAGAAAGCTAAGATTACAGTTATATACTCCCAAGATATTATGTTAGATGATAACAGAATCCACTTATCCCTCTTTCGCCCATAGCTCATGCAGCACAGCCAGTCCTGTTACTTTTCAGACAGATTTGGTATGTCCATTTTCTTGCTTTAATTAAATTTTGTACCTAAAATCTAAATTTCACACAAATGTACACTTGGAAATAAAGATTGTCATTGAACTCAAGTAGGGCACTCTGTACCATGAACAGGAATATAGGCATCCTGTTATGTCTGCTTTTATTTCTTTAATGAAATTTAGATCATGAAAGGGGAAAAGCTGTTCTGGTATAAAATAGATCAAAACTGTAATGAATGTTCAGTAGATGTTGTTGAATCATTAGATGAAAAAAGTTGATTATGAATGTCCTTATCGTGAGAAGGGCTTGGAGTCCTTGTCAAGTGGTGGTGAGGGAAGTAAATCTCATGAACTAATGAATAACCAGAGAAGACAGGATAGATATGAGTATCAACCTGGTATAAGCAGGGTTCAACTAAATAATAGTGGTGATAAAAAGGATCTGTCTACTATCTGGAATAATATTTATTACTGTGAATTCAGGAGGCCAGGAATATTATGTTTGGTGTAGTGGGGGGGGCAGAGCAGTTAGGGTTCAAAAGGTTAACAAACTATAATTAATTGTTCTTCAGGTAATCTTTTTTCTCTGTGTTAAATTAAAGGAATTTCTTTTAAAAAAATTTAATGATCTCTGTGTACACTTGAGTTTCAAATAGACATTGTGACTGGAATAAAAAGGAGAGCTGTAAAATTTTGGGGTGCCTCAATAAAAAAGGTCAGTGGAAAACGCCCTAATTATTTGATAATAGGGTTGGGCGGAAATTTCCTATTCAAATATTTAAAAGAAAGCTATTGAAATAGTTATTTCAGCTATGCCTTCAAAATTAAACGTCTTCATTAAAAACTTGTACCCAGTTTCAAGCCTCCCCAGCTTAGAGCCACATCACATTGAAACACTGGTTCCTGTACAATCACTGAAGTTAAGCAACATCAAGCCTGGCCAGTACCTAGATGGATGACCGCTTGGGAATATCAGGTGCTGTTAAGCTTGAATGCGTGGTTGGTGTAATGGATAATGATGCAGAATTGTTAATCAGAGTGCAGTGTTCTAATTCCAGTTGAGTTTGTTATATTCACTTACACGCAAATACCTTTAAGGAAAGGTATGAATCCACCTCTTCTTCCCCCAGTTATGGGTTAATTAGTAAGACTTATATCAATAAACCATTCTTCTACTTCAGGACACAGGCAATCATGACCCTCTACATTTTCCTGTCTCTTGTTGCTCTTAATAAGTTTTGTCTTTGTTATTTCTCTCAAACCCTGTTCTACCATCCATTTACTCAGGCCCATCAAGTATGTTACACACTGCCCTCCTCTGTCTCTCATTCTGTCTTGTGAGTATCAGATTTTCCAGTCCTTCCTTCCTCATTATGTGCCCCAGAAATTTCAACTGCCTCTTCCTGATGTTAAGTATAAGCTTCCTTTTTTTTTCTAAAACCTCGTTGTTACTCACATGCTCACTCCATGGTATCCTCAGTATCTTTCTGTAGAACTCGATTTCTGTTATTTCAAGTCTCTTCTTCATCTTTGAAGAGACTGTCCAGCATTCACTGCCATATACAAGGACAAATATTACATAACAGTTCAGTATTCTTTTCCTTGTTTCTAACAAAATTTTCCTGTTCTCTTGCTTAGCTTTTGGAATACATCTTAGGCCATCCCAATAGGTCTTCAGATATCAGTGTTGCATTTTCTCTCCTCTGTTAGAACATTTCAAAGATATTTAAATCTTTATACTCATTTCACTTTACTATCCCTGATTTGTACTTTACATTTTGGGCTCATACTTTTCATGATAATAATGCATTCTATCTTATAATTCTTCAAATCTAATAATTTTTCTGGTTTAAATAATCTGCAAAGTGTTGATATGCAGTAGAAAATGAATCAAGCCTCCCATTTCAAGTTCATGAAAATATGACACAAGCAAAATATCATTTCTAATCAATTTCATAGAATATTACAATTCTAATTTTTTCAATAAATTTTTGTCCATAAATTTTATTGCTTTGGAAAATACAAAAAACAGATTTTTAGAAATCTGAAAATATAAGAAAAAATTCACTTTATTTGAACAAAAACTTTATACCATAAAATTTATATATTGTTTTAAAAATGATGGTAACTCGGTTTGTGAGACAGTGATTGGACTACATTTGGTGAACAACCTGGGTTTGAAATATTTTGACGAAATGTTCAGGATAATGCACAAAGCTAAGCTATTAAATATTTGTTTTTTAGAAGCTGTTCATATCAAGCTTCATCAATTTTCATTCATTCAATTTTTTAAGTTCTCTCGTGTGCGTCGTGAGTACAAAATGTTTTCTGTTTTGTACTCAATAGAAGCTTATTTAAATTGATTACTTGTTTTAGTAATGTCTTCTTCCCCCCCCAACCTCACTTTTTTAGTTTTACCATTTATTATTGACTTCTTTTTTTCCCAACAAAACTTTCTGAAGAAGTATTGGACAAAAAAGGTTCCTTTTTTAAAGAAAAAGAATGTTTGCTATAGTTTTTAAACCACTATATATGGCTAACGATTATGTTTAGCATGAAACACTGTCACCTCTGGGTGTTGACTTCAATGACCCCTTTATATTTATATACACTGTCCCTGATATTGACCACTTTAACCCATAAATATAGCATACATTAAAATTATATTTTGTCATATATGTGTGCGTGAAGTTATGACATGAGTTTATCAACATGTGTCTTTTTTATCTGGAACCATGTTTTCTTTTTATACTTATTGTGTTGTACTCAATTTCTTATTGGTCAACTAATTTTCATCATTGCTATAAATATTCTTTGTGCCTCTTAAAATTTGTGTGGATTTTATCAGTCAGGAAACACTTTGTGCTAGAATGATTGCAGCTGAAATTAAGAGGCTAGAGGAAATGTCCTGAATAATTAATAAACAGGGGTGCTTAAAATAACAATCTACTAGGTGAGTTTTTCTCCGAAAATGAATAGTTGTCCCAGCCCATCTATTTGAAACTCAAATATTTTAATTTAATTTCCTTTATAAGTTGATTTTTGTTTTATTGTCATGAAAACAATTTTTACTTTTCTTAACCCAAATATTTGTAAACAATAGAGAAATTCATATTTACATTCAGTATTTTTTTCCGCTTGTTAATAAAATGATTTGTCGATTCATAGCTCCATCTGTTTTATTGTAATCCTTTTTACTCCATTTCCAAGATGTCATTTTGGTACAATTTCAGAGCAACAGGTGATAATTACATTTCATTCTTGTTTCATCATGTAAAATGGCTAAAAACAAACTGAAGGTCGTATTCATTATTAGAAACAATCACTTGGGGAAAATTTCTTGAATATTTAATAAAAGGCAGGAATTGAAATAAGAATGTCCTGGATTGATTTTTCTTAAAAAAAAAAAAAAAAAAAATTATCCCAGCTTATTTATTTGAAACTTAAAGTTATAAAGTTAATCATGCATCCATTAAGACAACAAAAAACAAGGTAAACATAGAATTACATACCTGCAATAAGACGTAGTGTCAAAAGGATAGTTTTTTTCAGTACCTTCACTCTTCAGCAATGTTTATTGTTTTAAAAAGTGATGATTAGAATTGTAATAAAACCTAAACATAATGTGAATTTATACATTTTTTTTTATTCTTGAGAATTTACAACAAAAATAATAAACACTTTATTTATTAGATTGTTTATTGGAATGGTTGACAAATTGGCAAAACATCAACTAATTGCCAATCCAAACTTTATAAAATGGTAAATAAGGATTTCCTTAGAGTTGGTTCACATAATTTAATAATTTAATAAATGTTCATAAATTTATGAACAAAAAATTTTTTTCACATTTCTTTATAAATTGGAAAATGATAAATATTGCATTTTATTAATTTTAATTGTATTAGTTTTTAAAATGTTGTAAATATAAAATTATTCTTGTAAATAAACAAATAGTGTTTAATGTTTTTGTTATAAATTCACTTTTTAAAACAAATATTGTCGAAGAGTGAAGGTAGTTCTTTTTAAAAAAAAAAGAAAGCAATCTCATGGGGAAAAAAAACATCCTTTTGATACTTAATCTTATTGTGAGCACATAAGTCCATATTTGCCAAAAACAATATCTAAATCATGCTTTTTGCTTACAGAATAATCTATTGAAGCTTTTGTGCAAGTTTAAACCTGAAATCAATATGAATGACACTGTAAAAAGCATTCTTCATAAATAAGATTTTCTGTTTCAGGTAAGTTCTTTTGGTTGTGAGATCCAATTTCACTGCTGATATTTCTTATTAGCATTTATTTACATGTTCTCATCCTGGGTATGATGATAAACTACATCCTGTAGCAAGGCCTCTGATCGGGAAGTTTTGAAGAATCACTTCTTAATTGCTGTTGTTCCCAGGTTCAGCCTAATCTTGGGTTGTAGTGCCTGTTAGGGTCCTAGCTATGGGCAAATAGTTAACCTCCAAACTGGGGTCAAAACACTATGAAAGTATAAAAATAGATTTTCATAGTAAAATACCAGCAATACATTTTCACAGTAAAAAAAAATTACCATCAATATATTTATGTAAAAAAAAAAAAAAAATTTCAGCATTAAATAAGCCATAAGGAATTGATATGTTGCTAAACAAACAAACATTTACATCATACTTATTATAAAACCCAAGTTGTGTGTGTGTGTGTGTACATTTATATATTAGATCGGATTTCCTACATTTTTCAACCGATTTCAACAAAACTTCACAGGACTACATAAAATTACCTTGCAGTGGTTCTGACAATGCCAAAAATTGAAAAAACACAATTGTTTTTGCATGAAATCAATTTGAAAACACGATTAAGAGGCATCACCTTTGCGGAATGAAAGGGGAACAACTCATATCGAGTTATACTTATTATAAAACCCAGGTTGTTTGTGAATGTGTGTCTGTGTTCATTTATATATGGGATCAGATTTCCTACATTTTTCAACCGATTTCAACAAAACTTCACTTTTTTTTCTTTTCTTTTTTTTGGCAGGTAGTGTTTCTTATTGTCTTGCACACTTTTTTCTTTATTTTTACATTCAGAATGCTTTAAAAACTCCATTTACAAGACAATTGTTTATAATAAAATTCTATTCAATCGGTAGACTCATAACGATTGAAAACAATGTTTTTGTTGGAGTTTGGGTTTGACCAATTTGTAAAAAAAAAAAAAAAAAAACTAATTAAGACATGCGTGTGTGTCAACCTTAAACAATAATCTTTGTCAATTTTATTTTTCAGTCTTTATGATGGTCGATACTTGATCTATCTCTTACTGTTACATCCCCGGGCAACACCGGGCTCTACTGCTAGCATTCAATATATGCATAATAGATATCCAATGATCAAAGCTATCTGGTTTTTATGAAAGCAAAAATTCTTTCTATGTTTTTGTTTTTTGTCCAGCCACCAATTTACCTTTTTAGATTGGATCTCAAAGCCAAAAGATTTCATGTATTGAAATGCTTTTCTAAACATTGTTCTTCTCCACATGTTACATATTTTGAATATTCGTCATTTGTATTGCAGAAGTAATATTAACATTTTTGAGAGATGGAAAACTAATGCAGACCTGTTGGTAACATACAAAAGTAATAAAAAGTTAAGTACATGTTTATACTTCAGTTTTTCTGAAATTATATAACTAGCTTTCAAGTCAAATTTGTTGTTTTTATGTTTATATTTCAATGTGAGTATTCTTCAGATATTTTTTTTCTTAATCTGCTTAACTTCCATTTGAGGCCTTGAAACTGGTTTATGTTTCTCTTGACAGAAACTCTTTTGCAAATCAAGTTAAATTTAAAAGAATTAATTTATTAATATTATCACAGCCAAATTGAACAAATACTTATGAAACAAGAAAACTCAACATTGAAATATTAATAAATTCAATCTTCATTTTTCTTTTTTTACTATTGATTACCTTCAAGCATGTTTTGGGTATTTTTTTAATCTTTTATTGTATTGATGGGCAAAGTTTGAAATAATAAATATTTGTTTAGTATTCCATCTTTCATTGAGGTGTTTCATTCTCTGAAAATAATGTATTGATTTTGTTTATTTTTTGTTCTGTATTTATTTTGTGGAAGTGTTAAAAGGATAGATCAGTTTTATATTAAGGTTTCTAAATATTGTTACATGAATATTGATATATCTGAATTTTCACTTCGTCTATATGATTTATGATTTTTATCTAATTCTTGTGCAAGAAAACTCATTCTTGGATTAAAAGAAAATCCTAATATAGTCCCTTCCATATACATATGAGAGAATTAAGTATTTCCACCTATAAATGAAATGCATACTTATAATAAAGACATCAATCAGTTATCCTGTGGCTATAAACCCTCTGGTGTTTATAGCCACAGCCTTATCACACAAGGTGTTGTTACTAAGGTTTCCATACCAAGTAGGTTTACACACAGTGGAATTGTTAGCCCCACACCCGACAGATTTTTAATTTTTAAAGTTGTCCATCTCCTGGACTGGTTACCAATCAAACTTGGAGGCACCAGTCTCTCCATAGTTGTGGGCAAAAGAGATAGAATTATATCTTTCTCGAGGATATTTGTACAAAAGTGATCACAGAAGCCTTGGCTGAAATTTGAACTCTGTATGACAATTCCACTTTTCGTGCCAGTAACTGCTACGCTATGCACGGATCCTTATAGATACATAAATATAGAAAATTAGGATTGTTGCTAATGACTTGAAAAACAAAATTAATGAACAGAATTCAAGCTCTGGATGCATCTGTTAAAATAACTTTTATAACCATTGCTTCATTATGTTCCACTGCCAATCATCTCAAAATATTTCTTGTATATCACAATGAGACATAAATTAAAATTAGATGGCAATATATTGAATGAAGAATGAAGTAGCCAGAATTGGAATTTTCATAGCACCCTGTCTTGTAATATACACACAAATACCGATAGCTGAGATAGTAAAAATACTCTGAATATCTAGATTGATTTATATCAGGGGAAATAAATCTAGTTGATTGTTCTGATTCCAATATTAACTTCTGTAATGTTTCCTGCTTGTATATTCTTTGCAGCTATGGACTATATACGTTTTAATTGTCTATCCAATAATGAAACAATGATTATTGTGCTTTATAACATTGATTTGTGGCAAATTCATAAAACTATTTCTTCTGTATTAATCCTCAAAAAAAAAGGTAAGAAAAGAGTTGAATAAATCAGTTATATCGTGTGACCTTAACAATAAACAGAGAATCTTAACATTTCTTCTTTCTTTATTTTAATCTTTTTTGATAGAATTTTTGGATTTTTATTTTTATTTTTTCCAGCACTGTGCTTGCACCAAGGCACGTGTAGGCGATTCACCCGTTTCAGCCCCATTTGATCGTGATTTACAAAACCTGGTAAGTGTACAGTGTGTCACCCCAACCACAAAATATATATGCTCAGATATTTTAAACAGTTAAAAATAATGCATCATTTAAATGTAAAACAGCAATTTTATTTTTATATCTTCCTTTACACTAAAATATAAAATTGTTTTTGTTCTTACAGTAAAAACAGACATAGTAAAACATGCCCAACCAATGTTACAATCAATTCATAAGAATGTTCTGCCTTCTCACCAGATTAGTTCAGCTATTTACAGTTTTAAATATCAATGTGATGTTGACTATATAGGCAGAACCAGTCAAAATTCAAAAAGGGCAAAATGTGATAATTTGCATAAGTGCATCAATATATCCAGGTCAACATGACAATTCTGATCACAACAGATGCCTCTTTGTATCTGCTCATAATCATTGTAAATTTATCCTCAAAGAAGCTAAATCTTTATATGCTGACAGAATGAGGCACCATATAGCCTCTAATAAGTTTGGTTCTCATAACTACTGGCAGCTCTGTAATAGTGTATTTGTTATATTCTCTGCTAGTAGGAATATATATTTGAAAAACAAGGTGGATAAAATAAGTAAAGGTTTATTGTAAAAAAACAGTACAATAAGAATAAAGGTAACAGTTATGCACAAGGTCGTTGCAAGTCAATTCAATAGTGAGTGCTACTATTGGAAGGTTGGTAGTTCTCTCATAAGTCTGAGTTGTACTCAACAGATCCCAGCTAGGATATTTAGCTACCCCCCACGAGGGTTACATGTGGCACAAGGCTGAGTTTAATGTGGGATCTCCAAGCCTGTAGGCTCAGCCAAAAATATTCCCTTTTGAACCCGTATAAACGGGTTCAGGGGCAGTCTACCTGCCCAAACGAGACTCTGCCCTTCGGCGAAGCCTTGTCCAGGTTCCTCTCTGCCCGAAGGTAGAGAGTTCGACTGTTTAGCTGGAACAGATCCCAGCTAGTCTCTGTAGTCTGTTGACTTAGATACTTATAGGTAGTTACTACCTATAATGTAGTCACTCATGGGGGTGACAGGTTATTCCATTACATCAGTATTAGATAAGGGTAAGTCTTTTATTCTACACTCTCTTCATTCAATTTAAGGTGTTTGCATCTTCTGCTGATAAAGCAGAATGTTTTGCTTGTAACTTCTTTTCAAATTCTACTCTTGATTCATATGGAGTATCTTTTCCTGACTTTCCACTTAAAATTGAGTCTCTATTGAGTGATATGCATATAACTTTGTCCATGGTTTCTGCTAGCATTTCTAAACTAGATCCCCACAAAGCATGTGGATGTGATGGTATCCCTGCAATAGTTCTTAAGAAATGTACTCTTGAACTGGTTTCTGTTTTCTGAAAAAAAAAAGTAGGCATTTATTGTAGAGTTCAATAAATGCCTTGTTACTTCTTTCTTTCCTACTTGTTGGAAATCCTCTTCTGTAATTTCAATCTTTAAGAACTTTGGCAAACTGTTTGATCCTTCTGTCAGCCTTTTGCCTCTTTTCAGAAAAGTACTAGAGGCTTTAATCATCTCTGAATTAAGCATCTCATCAGGTCTTTTTTTCAGACAAGTAATATGGATTTCACTTCTCTAGATCAATTATTGATGTGTTTAAGTTATTTTTGAAAGTATTTCTCAAGCTTTAGATGAGAAGGGTCAAGTTCAGGCTGTTGCCTTTGGATAACTCAAAGGCATTTGATAGGGTTTGGCATGCTGCTCTTCCTTACAGGTTGAAAGGTTAGAAGTATTTCTGGACAAATTTTTTATCGGATTCAATCTTTCTTATCAAATCATAAAAAGGAAGTTATCTTGAATGGCCACTCTTCTAGATCTTTTTCCATTGATGCGGGAATCCTCCAGGAGTCTATCCTTGGACCAATATTATTCCTAATTTTCATCAACAACTTTCCTGATGTTGTCTGTTCTCAAGCTTGGATCTATGCTGATTGCATACTTATTTACTCCTGTTTTGATCATAAGTCTAATCTGATCAATATAGTTAAATTGGCAGCTAATCTAAAATATGACCTACAGTCTGGATTAATACATTTCCCAAGGGTATTTGCACATAAATATAATGGACCCAACTAGAATTGAAGCTTGGCTCTTCGATTTTCAATTCCAAGTCATTATCCAATACACTACATACATATCCAATCTTATATTCCCTAGTATTTCGAAGCAGTCACCCATCCAGGTACTGACTCTAGATGAGCGACTATTTAGGAATACCAGGTGCTTGGATATGCAGGTAGTGTAATGGATAACAGCTTGGAATGAGAAATTGAATAGCCAAGTTCAAATTCCAGTCGGGTTTGTTACATTCATTTTTGTACAGATACCCTTAGGAAAGGTATGGACACAGCTCTTCTCTCCCTCAGATATGGGTTAAATAGTAAAACAGATTGGGTCCTATAGCCTGGCAATCAGTTTACTGTAGAAAGTAATGGCAGCTTACTGTAGGAATCCTTCTGCCAAGTCAATCATGAATCAAAAAGAATTATGATTACCAAAGTATGCATCATGTATGGCACATAAATAAGGAAGTATTTTACATTCACTTTCAAACTAATTCTCTTGGAAAAGCTATGGATTCATGTTCCTCCAGCTATGGATTATATAGCAGGATAGATAATTCCACAACTACAATAATAACATTTACTCACTTTTTTCATTAGGCATTAAATTACATCATTTAGAATTCTCATAGTTTAGTTTATCTTGACTTTCACAGTGAGCCATAAGAATATTTTTGAGTGGTTTTAAATTTTAAAATTTTGAAAACTTAATGATTATTTTTACTTCTGTTTATAAATGTATGTTGCAAAATAAAATCCTTACATTTGCTTTGATAAAGTCTATTAAAGGATGAAATGCGTTGTCTAAGATAAGTTATCCTTTTGTCTTATATAAGTTTTGAAGTTGAAAACAACTGACAGGTGTTGTGGTTGAGTTTTTTTATATAATTTCTCATGTGTTTATATAAGTTTTTTCTTTTCAGGACGTAAATTACATAAAAATTGTCCATATTTGTTTCAAGCACTTTCAGCTATGCTTTTAGCCATTATCAAGGATGAATTTTCTTTTACTTTTAACTGAATATATCAATTTCAAAATAAAAATGTCGTCTACGTAGCAGCTGTATATTTTTGGTTTTGTAACCTTTTTAAAAACCTTATTTTCTACCTGGAACATGTAATAGAGAAGCATGGACTGAGAGGATTTCTTATACTTATTCCAAGAATTAACTATTACATGTCCCTCATAGAAAACAAGGTTTCTAAAGGTTACTAAACCAAAAATATACATCTGCTATGTAGACAATATTTTTATTTTACCCAAGAACAAAATTGAAATCTCACATTTTATTACTTCAAACATTATTATAATGGACACTTTATTTAAAATAAAATACACACTGTTTAAAATCAAAGTCAGATGTCTATTTCAAATATGAGTATCCACTATAATATTTGAAGTTATATATAACACACACAGTATAACCTTTTTGTTATGATGTGACCCAATACTTAAAACCTAATATTACAAAAGTAGCATTTCATTAATCGGTTCAAAAATGTTGAAAAGTTTGTGATCAGAAATGTATGATTTTATAAGTAACTTAGTATTTTCACCAGTACTCAAGTTACTTAAATGGTTGCTTAGATTTTTTATGCTTCAGTCAAATAAATAGAAAAGAAAGAAATGTAAGTAAATTAGTAGAATTGGTAGAATTCTTGAGTACAAGGGTCATTTAAAACATTCTAAGCTTCATCCAGAAGGAGATGGAGAAACCAGACAGTTTTTCATTATTTTTCAATTGACATCAGTGTATTTGGTGCAGTGGTGCTTAAGTATTGCAATTGCATTACAGAAGAAAGTGGCTTCATGGTCCTCCCAAAACTCCTCCACAGCACATATGATCTCATCATTCTTTCCAAAATGATGAGCACACAGGTGGAATTTGAGTTTAGAAGACAGAAAGAAGTCAGATGGATCAAGGGGGATGGGGTAGCATTTCTTTAGTAACTTCTTTTGTTTAATTTTACTTTTTTAGTTTAAGCCACATTAACATAAGGAGTGGAATTACTTATGATTTAATCAAATTTGAGTAAAGTTGCTTAAAAAATACATTTTTGTAATAAGTCTCTTTATAATAGGAAAAAATTACTAAAGATTTTTTTTTTTTTTTTTTTTTTTTTTTAAGCGAACTTGGACCTTCATGCCAGCAAAAAAACAAAAAACACAAAAAAAACATGTCAAAAGGATGGTTTTTCACTAGACATTGCTATTGTTTTAACTACCTTCTCTCTTTGGCAATGTTTTTTTCTTTTAAAAAGTGTTGATTAGACTTGGAATAAAACCTAAGCATACGATGAAAGTGAATTTATACATTTTTTTCTTGAGAATTTATAACAAAAATATTAAACACTATTGTTTATTTTCAAGAATAATTTTACATTTACAGCATTCTAAAAACTAATTGTATTAAAACACTAATGTAATGCAATATTTATAATATACCAATTTATAGCGAAATAAATATGAAAACAACTTTTTATTCATAAATTTATAAACATTTACTAAATCATAAAAATATGTGAATCAACCATAAGGAAATCCTTATTATTTACCATTTTATAAAGTTTGAATCAATTAGCAATTAGTTGGTGTTTTGTCAACCATTCTAATAAACAATAAGTAGGGTTGTTTCCTCAAGAACAAAGTAAATTTATAAATTCACCTTCATATGTTTAGATTTTATTAAAATTCTTATCATTTTCTAAAACAATAAACATTGCTGAGGACTGAAGGTAGTTAAAGTAGTAGCAGTATCAAGGGAAAAGGAGTCCTTTTGACGTTATATTTTTTTTTTTTTTTCCATGTTGGGGGCATGAAGGTTCAAGATTGCCAGTTTTGTTTTTTTTTTTGTTTGTTTGTTTTTTTTTTTTGTTTTGACCTATTGGCATTTATTTTTCAATTTTAGTCAGATGATTGTCGGGCAGAAGTGTCCTCTGACAATAATGTAGACATGGTGAAATATGAAGCCAACAGTGCACATTACCAGCTTTATTCTTTAATTGGTAAGTCTTTCCCCATCCTATAAATACTACTGATAGATAATGTGTGCCATCATCCTGGGTATGACAATAAACTACATCCACGTCCTGGGTAAGACAATAAACTACATCCACGTCCTGGGTAAGACAATAAACTACATCCACGTCCTGGGTAAGACAATAAACTACATCCAACAGCAATGCCTCTGATCAGGAGATTTTGAGGAGCGTGGAACCACCTCTTAATTGCTGGTATTCCCAGGTCCACTCTGACCCGGAGTGGTGGCACCTGCCAGGGTCCCAGCTATGGGCAAATAGTTAACCCACAAACTGGGGTCAAAACACTACGAAATTGCAAAAATATGTTTCTTTGTAAGAAGATTATTACCAGCAATAAATTTTTGAAGAAAAAATTATTACCAGTTTGAAAAATGAAAAAAAAATATTACCAGCAATACATTTTTGGAAAAATTATTACAGCAGTAAAAATCTTGTTGGCATTAGATAACCCATTGAGGTTGATATACTGTAAAACAAACCAAACCAAACTAATGTGTACCAACTTTCAATTTGCCTCAGTTTTTCTACTTTCTTTCTCTGTTTTGTATTTCAGGAAAAGGCTTCACTGATGCTATATCAGTTCATCTAGCAAAGCACATACCATCTGGAGTGAATATTGCAGTTAAGAGGATTGATTTAGAGACCGTTAGTACGGAAATTGCAGACTTACAGGTGAGTCAAGTCACCAGTGCCAATATACATGTTAATTGTTCAGAGTTTCCAATCTACAATCTCGACACCTGTATATATGGTTTTTATATATATAATATATATATATATATATATATATATATGTAGAGGAGACAAAATGAATAAAGAGACAAGAGGGAAAAAAAAAACTATCAAAAGAGAAAGTAATTTACTCAGAAAATTCTTGAGTGTGCCGCTATCAAATCTTATCAAAATATAAATCCGTGTCCCATTTTTTTTCCCAATCTCACCTTTCCTAAAAGATTACTACTTTCCCAAGCCAACATATACAACCACCAATAATGTTGAAAAATCAAAAGAAAACAGTTAAATCCATCACCTCATTGCCTTGAAGATGTACAACACATACGTCCATCTCATACCTTAACAATATTCATTTAAAAAAAAAAATTCTTGAATATTACTTGCTCACCTTACTTTTTGCCAGACTTTGAATTATGACACTTTGTCGTCCACATACTTTGACTTACCTTTCAACATCAGGAATGTTCTCAAATCTAAAAGCCTTTATAAACCAATGACATCCTCACCTTTTGTATATAAACATGTGCAGCAAAATAAATCCTACATTGCCTTGATAAAATATGTTGGTTAAGAGTAGTTTATCTTATCTCTTCTTATTCAAACACACACTATATATATATATATATATATATATATATATATATATATATACACACACACACATATACAAATATGAGTTCAGATCCTGCAATCAGTTAACTGCAAGTTATCTGACAATTCTTCCAGTGAAACCATATTCAATGAAGCCAAGAAAGATTATAAAACTGCTCTAAAAGATAATGGATTTACAGCAACACTCACATGCACATCACACATAGAAAAAATAGCTATAATTACCTTCCCAAATCAACACAAATTACTAAATAAATGATAAGAACTCATAATGCAGACATGAAAATAAATTTTTATTACATGACTTAAAAATCAGAAACTAAAGTCAAATAAATAATAAAATAAAAATAAATAAATAAAATAAAATTAATCCAAACCAATAAGTAATAAACAAATTAACCAATTACAAACATGCACATAAACACAAGTAAACATAATAACAGCCAATGATAAAATAAGGAGTAAAAAGTTAACAAACAACACTATAAAACATCCACATAACTGCATCTAATTCCACAATTATTTCCACTCATAGCCTCTAGAATAATTTGAAACATAACTGTCAACACCCACCCAAATAATTGCTAGAATAATCCAATAGGCCTACCCATAATGCACCACTGGCCAGCATATATAGTCAAGCCAAAATACAATGTACGTGGCCTTACGATTATGTCCTTAACTTTACATATGAACTTAGCCAAAAAACAAACTTCCATTCTTAGATGTCCTCGTTGGACACAACAATAACACTTTCATTACATCATTATACAAAAAAACCACCAGCAAAAACTCATGCCACCTTAATTTCAAAAGCGAATGTCCACTTAGGTACAAAATAGCAGTAATAAAAAACTTTCTAAATAGAGCACACCAGAACTCATCCTCTCAACTACTCTTTCTCAAAGAACTTAACAACGTTAAACAAACACTAATCAACAACGGTTTCCCTAACTACCTTATAGACCAACAAATTAGACTATTCCTCCCCAAACCAGACTCATAAATAATTACATCGGCTACACAGCCACATGTTTATCCAGACATCTTACGTTACACCTATCTGATCACAGCTCCATCAGAACACATTTAAACACACACTCAGATTTACCCGACACCATTAGAAACATACTAGTAGAAAACACAAATATATTAACTGCATCCACTTGCAAAAAAAGACTAAAAATAATGGAAGTTCTAATAATAAAAAAGAAAAAGCCAACTCTTAACAATATTAACTATGAACAAAGCCACAATGTGCTAACCGTATTCGGAAATTAAAAACATCCCTACCACACACTGATACATACACAGAACGCACACACTCAACTAAGCTGAAAATCAAATCATCCTTGATAATGGCTAAAGGTATAGCTGAAAGCGCTCGGAAATATAAAACATTTGGACAGTTCTTACACACCCTTTGTCCAGAAAAGAAATCTCTTGTCAGAACACAAGAAAAATTAAATAAAAAGCTCAACCGTAGTACCTTGTCTGTTGTTTTTAATGAAACATGCATATATATATATATATATATATATATATATATATATATATATATATAGTAATCAGTACGAAAAACATTTATTGAATATTAATTATTAATCACATGACAGAAATGAAGCATGGAAATTAAGGTTTTAAGTCTGAAATTTTGGGGCATACCTGTGTTCTTCATCAGCAGCATTAGAAATAAACAGAAATGGGAATTACTCACTGACAGCTGTTCTTGTGGACAGTGTGGATTCTGGAGGAGAGTGTATTATTAATAAAAACCAATTCTCTGTCTGATTCCTCGCTGTGCAAAACTTATGAAAATAAACTGAGATTCAAATTTTGGATCAGTGTGAACATGTTAGGCAGTTTTATTCTTTTCAGTGTGAGTAGTGGGGAGTGAGATTGTGAACATAGAGGAAGAGGGTCATAGGGTGGGGAAGACACCACATGTGTGGTCAGTGCGGAAGATTGTTTGTCCAAGACATTTGACAAGACACGAAAAGAGAAGTGGGGGAACAAAGGAAAAAAGGTAATGAAAGAAAAACGGAAAGAAACAAATAAAAGGATAAAACATTTTGATAAAATTTTTTGGGAAATCATTGTCAGAAAATGAGGGTGCAGAAAAAAATAAAAAATAATAACAATAAAGGAAAAGGAGGGGAAAAGTGCATACAAATATAGATGTGCTGTGTACATAAGTGCACATAACACTATGTAAGTATACACTAGCTACCACACAGACTTGTGAATCTCAACATACGTAAAGATATGAATACATAATACCAAATTAATGTGTATCTACACCAATTTTCCTCACTCCTTGCATAAGCTTGTTTTTAAAGGACCCTTTAGCTGTAGAACCGAAGATGATATAGAAGAGAGTGTTTGGGGAGTAGCCCTGAGTGTACATGACAATACTTCCTTTACTGAAAAGTGCATAATGGGGGAAATCATAGGTGTCAGAGCAGAAAAATATACTAGGTAGGAAATTGCTGTTAAAATTTGGATTTAAAATGTGGGTGGAGGGCCTACTAATTTGAGGAGTGGTGTTGCTGGTAATGGGCTTCCTTGTGGAAATTATACTCTCTGAGTAAACCCAAATCTCTGTTTAGTCCTTTTATGTGGGGAATTTACTTTTAGGATATACTTCAACTTTGATCTGCATCTATCCTCCTGGCTGCCAAAACCAAACACCAAAAGCATGCACCTGACGTCATCAATGCTGTGACCAGGTTGGTTGAAGTGTATGAATACTGGAAAATTGTTGTTGTTGTTGTTGTTGTCCCTGATGCTTTTCTTGTGATTATTGAACCATAACCAGAATCTGTTCTGGTTTCTTCCACATAATTCCCTTTCTCACATTTGTGGCAGAAAAATATGAGATTAGAACTGTCACAGCTTAGAGCAGGTGGTTTGAATACTACATGAGTACCGGTGGGGTAATTGTTGTGTATGTGATATATATATATATATATATATATATATATATATATATATATACACAAAATAAACAAACCCTAAAATATTTGTTAAAATCATGCATGTTAAAAAAGTGCTTAATTTCAAGTAAGAAAAATAAAACCTATAGAGCAATTTAATAATTAAACAGATAAAACGCTGACCAGAACACTACCAGGGTTTCAATCGCATTTATCATTTTAATATATATATATATATATATATATATATATATATATATATATATATATATATATATATATAATTATGCAGTGTTACATTAGAATATGCACATATTAACTACAAAACTGTACATCTTGTTTCACTGTTAAAAAAACCCTGAAACAATATGTACAGTTTTGTAGATGGTATGTGCATATTCTAATGTAACACTGCATAATAAATAAATATTTTTCTACTTTTGTATTGAGCCCTGTTTAAAAATTAATGTTTGTTTTGAATGTTGAAATCTTTGTTCTTTTATATTTGGAGATATATATATATATATATATATATATACACACACACACACACACATACGTCCATGTGTGTGTTTCATTAAATATGGTGATTTTTCTAAGCATAGCTTAGGTGTGACACAAGGCTAAAAGTATGGGTCACCCAGTGAGGTTTGAATTCACTACCCACTAGTAATTGTTCTAGAGAGACAAGCTGGAAAAACCATTACACTGTATAAAGGTTCCTGTGTTTCATTGAATATGATGGGAAATGGAAATTTAAAATTTTTTTTTTTTTTTTTTTTTTCAGTTTTTCTAATGTTTTTAGTTTTTTTTCTATTATGAGGACTAAGAGTATAGAAATGGTCCATAATGATTATTGTCCAAAGCACTTTTGGCCAATTCATTAGCTATTTTCAAGGCAATTATTGTCAGTATATTTTTCTGTGTTTATTTTGCATTTTGTGGAAGTAGTAATAATTCTAAGCCATGCTGGATGGGAATTGTAGTAATTCCATATTGGAGGTGTACTTTTAAAACAGCACCAACACTTTTTCCCATTTTCTAATAGAGTAAGACTGAGACTTAAACTGCTTTACATAAAGTGCTTCAGTTAGATGTCTTTTACATTTAGATGTTCTTAAAATGATAGTGTTATCTACAAGGATTTTTCTTAGGAGAGCAGGTAGTTGTATACGAGTGTTTAAGTGCTTCCTTATAGAGTCTGTATAAAAGAAAAATAAATATACAAGTTTATTTTACTTTTTTAGCTGTGTTTATTTTAGTCTTTTTTTTTTTTTTTTATAATTTCAGAAAGAAATTGCATTGGTGCAACAATTACAGCATGAAAAGATCTTGAAGTTTTACACAACATTTGTGTTTAATCGGGAATTATGGATTGTTATGCCATTTATGGCTTATGGTAAGTTGCTTTGAAAATTTCAGCTGCAGTCAAACTTATAGCAGTTCCTGGGTGAGATCATTGGACTGAAAATGACTAAACCTGAGGTTATATCTTGTGTTCCATACTAATGAGGATTGTTACCATAAATATAGAAAAGGAAACTGAATTTTTTTTTATTTCCCCTCCAAACAAGGCAATACAGCCACTAAGATGCAAGGGTTTATTCAGAATGAAATAGTCCGAGAAAAAACATTGTATTTAAATTTTGGAAGATGAAAGTTGTTAGGAAAGCAAGAAGCCAGAAGAGTTCCACCAGCAAAAGTGCGAGAGAAGAAACTGTTAGCATAGAACTTACGGTTACATCTACCAATTTCAACTGTAAAATGATAAGATCTAGTTGCCAATCTAATACTGCACTTAATGTCTAAGTGCCAAAGAGAAAAGCTCATCAGAACAATTACCATGAAATTATTTATAGACAAGGCACAGAGAAGCTAAGTTACAGCAGTGGGGAAAGTGACTGAAGCCAAGATGCCAGGTCAGGACCAAGAACATTGTAAGATTTTTGTTTGGATTTTATCAAAAATCTTTAGATACATAGCAGAAGCACCAGACCAGATGTGGCAGTAATATTCAATGCATGGACAAATGGTAGACTTAAAAAATGTGCAAGATAAATGCTGGCGAGAAAAATTGTCTAGCATGACACAATGAACCAACTTTCCTAACAGCAGACTTAACAACTGATTCAATATAATCACTGCACTTCGTGTCAGTGGAAAATATTAGCCCGAGAAGATGCAATGAGTCACTCTCTTGGAAGTTAACATCAACCATGCTGATAGAAGGAAAAAAGGTATCCTCTACCTTTTTATAAGAGCCAGATCAGGCCTAAAATGGAGTACTGTTATTGTATTTGAATGAGACTTGCCCAGTCCTCATTTTCCAGTTCAAAAGCGTCCTTTTGGGTGACAAGTTATTTTCCACCCTCCAACCTTTCACAGGCAGGATATGACAAGCCTCTCACTGCTCTATCACTACTTCTATGGAAAGTGCTCAGACAAACGAAATTCTTGGTTCCGCCAGATCTGACCTTCACAGCTAGGACCCGCCATGCCACTTACATAGTATTCCATCAGCAAGAAGTAAGTTCCACTCAAACAGCTTCTTCCCGTGAATCACTACTCTGCGTAACAGCCTCCTAAGAGGATCTTTCCCCCCGATCACTTCAATCTTAACCTGTTCAAGTCTAGAGTTAACCATTATCTTCCCCTCCTATCCATAAAAAAAGGTTCTCCAATGATTAAAAATGAGCAGTTTTGATAGGGGTGGGTGTTAAAGTTAACAAGCCATTTTTTGCCCCAGTTAACAACAGATTGAAGGCAAATTTTTTATATCAGCTGCCAATTGAGAACTGAGCAGACTTATTATTAAGACAGGAATAAATAGTTGTGACTTTAGCAAAACATACTGAGTCCAAAAGTGATGATATCAAAAATTTAATTTTATTTATTAAAATGACTTTTTTGTTTAATGACTTATTCCTTCATAATATAGACAGCTAGAGCTGACTTCTAAAACAAACACTATTTTAGTGTTTATCTTAGATTTGAATGTGTAAAATGCAAATTCAAAAATGTTGCTGTCAACACATTTCAATGTCTCACATGATTTGTTGTTAGGGGAAAAAAAATCATATTTTATTTAAAAATTTACTTAAAACATAAGAGAAACTTTCATATCTGCAAAGATTGACTCTTTTTAGACATCATGCCCCTCATGACATAGGTAGTGATGGCTCTCCACAGCTTTGTTGTTTTTTGTTTTTTTTTTGTTTTTTTTTTCATTCAGTATCATTAAAATTGTTGTTTTAGACCAGTTGTCCTACCAAGGTTAACTCTGCTATTTAACCCATAGCTGGCAGAAGAAAAGATGGATTCATGCAAAGTGAATGTAATCTGGTATTTGAACTCTGCCAGCTGATTCTGTGTTAATATAAAATCTAAAATCTATTTGATTCATTTTTTGTGACTTATCAACCCTTTGCAGGTTATTTAAAGCCACACAATATATTGTAAGAATTTTTTTTTTTTTAGATAATAATGATTTAGTAATACAAGTCTTACTAATTAACCCATAACTTGGGGAAGAAGAGATTGAGTCTTACCTTTCCCAAGGCTATTTGCACATAAGTGAATATAATGAACCCAACAGGAATTGGAACTCAGCTCTCCAATTAACAATTCTGAGCCTTTATCCATTATACCACCTGCACATCCAAGCTTACAGCAGCTGGTATTTCCAAGCAGTCAGCCATCAAGGTACTGATGAAGCTCGATGTTGTTTAACTTCAGTGATCGTACAGGGACTGATGGTTCAACGTGATGTGGCCATATACCCTGAAGTTTATTTATTCATGTTTCAACTGTGTAGGCATTATAATAAAATAAAATATTAAGGCTTATTATTAATTTTGACTCTTACTATATTTAACATCATATAAAATACACAGGTTTTTTTGGGTTTTTTTTTTTCCTCCAAAATATATTTCATTCTCACAAACGAAAACCTGCCAAGGACTTAACATTTTTGATGGTGTGAGTGAACTAGTATTGACATAAGATTCTACTGTACATAAAATGGGGGATCAATTTTCTATTGTCGTTAAGTAACAGACTGATCCCCTAAACTAGAATTAATATATATTAATATAATAAATGTAAAAACTATATTTTAGACTCACATGTGAAAACCTATCATTAGTGAGGACTAAACATTTTTGTTTAAACTAGTATTAATATAAGACCCTAATAGACTTAAAATGGGAGATCAGTTTTCTATTGCTTTTAAATAATAAACTGATCACCCTCAAGACTTACTACATTGTTTTTTATCTTAAAGCAATAATGTCCATATTTTATTCATAAAGGCATTTTTAATTAAATAATGTCTAGTTTTATTGCATTTTTTTAATTCAACAATTCAAAGCAGATTTTCTGTAACTGGTAGTTCTGTTTGGCAAAAAAAAACTTGATTATTTAAATTCACGGAAAATTTGTATTTATAATTAATATAAACATTAAATAATACAAAAAAAATTTCTCAAGAGTTCATAAAATTAAGTAAGGGGGTAACAAAGTAAAAAAAAAAAAAATTATAAAGATTTTCTTAAAAAAAAAAAAAGAAATAATTTAATTCATTTCTGAATAAGTCCTGAAAGTTTCATTAAAATCCAACAATATTCTGATTTTTGCAAAAGACAAAAGATTGTTTCTTTTAATATTATAGACTTGACTCTATAGATATGCATGATGTTTCTTTGTGCTTTTCAAGTGTCACATTGTTGTTGATTTAACATTTATTAGACCTTCCTCTACCCATGACAATTAAAATTTCACATACAAATTTCTGGTCCCATGTTGATGCCAGAAAAACTTGTTTTTTTTTATCAAAATTTCCAAGCTTCTAAAAAAGATTAAAAAAATTAATTTTTACATCAAAAAATCTTTTGATCTTTCATCTTAATAACAAATATAATTTTGATGATAAAATTGTTTTCATTTTTTTTGTATGTGCCTACTTATATGTGAAAGCCTAGTATTAGTAAGGACTATAAATACACCATCATTTTTTGTCTGGGGGTAAACAAGTATTGATATAAGATTCTATTGGACATAGTGGGAGAATCAGCTTTCTATTATCAAGTAACTGATTCACCCAAGAAATACTATATAATTGGAAAAATATATTTAAAGACTTACATATGAAAAGGCTTTACAAAATATACCATCATTTGCCTGAGTAAACTAGTATAAATATAAAATTCTACTGAAGTAGGAGAGTTTTTTTTTATTATGGTGATTTTCTAAGTGTAGTTTAGATGTGGCACAAAGCCAAAAAGTATGGAGCACCCAGTGAGGATCAAACTCACTACTCAGTTGTGATTGATCTAGCAAGACAAGCTTGCTAACCATTACACCATATCAAGGGGCACCAATTTTTTTTTTTTTGGTGGTGGTGGGGGGGGTATTATTATGATTGATAAGTACTGGGTTGTCCAGAAAGTTCATGCCAGTTTTTTAAGAGAAATTAAAACACAAAACAAAATAATGTCATTATTCAATAAAATATGAACCATTTTCTTACACAACCTTGCTCCATTTTTCCTTATCTATCTCTATATATATATATATATATAGAGAGAGAGAGAGTGAGAGAGAGATTTGACAAAACCCAAAGAACATTATTGTCCTGACATAACATAGTTTCTCTTTGCCTCTTCTATAAATGTTTTCATAGTAATTGTTACTGACTAGACATCACAAATTTAAGCACAGTACTGGATTGGCAGCTAGGTCACATAATTTTGCTTTTGAAATCGCTAGTTGTAACCATAAGTTCTGTACTGATAGTTTCTTTTCTCACTTGTGAAACTCTCTTCTGGTTTCCTGCTTTCCTGTCAACTTTGATCTTCAAAGATTTAAAGGCAATGTCATTCATCTTCTGTCACTGTGAATTCTGTTCATTTATTGTCCTCTTGGTTTCTTTCACTCTCAGTAACCCCTTGTAACCTAGTGGCTTTATTGCCTTGCTTGGGGTGAAATGATTAAAAAGAAAAATGTCAGTTATATATTTTTTTTTTTTACTTACATTATTTAGACTGTTATCCTCATCTTTATTGCCATATTCATAACGTTTCGACCATTGTATGCTTCACCTTCTTCAGGTGATTGGAATTTCAAACAAAACCCTTTATTTCATTATGAATATGGCAGTGAATATAACAGTCCGACTAAAGTAAATAATGTAAGTAATCATACCTCATCTCAGAGATATCAACAGGTATTTTTTTCTTTTACAATTAATATCTGCAAAAATATAATTCTTTTTTTTATTTCATACTGAGCACCTGACTTTTAAAACTTTTATAAAATGTATAAATTATTGAATTAAAAAGTGTCTTTTTAAATAGAAAATTTGTAACACTTTTCTCTGATTCAGAAATTATTTTATTTCCTAATAAATGTATAATAAATAACAAGGAAGAGGCAGGTGTTTTTGTAATCAACTGTGATTTCAAAATCTGCCCCCCCCCCCCAGCACAAACAAATTCTATAAACAAATGTTCACTGATACAACAGCCCATCATCTCATAAGATTAGCAAAAATAAAGAAGGTATTCTTAAAACAAACACAAAACTAAGTTAATTCTCACCTCTCCAACTATATATATATATATATATATATATATATATATATATATAGGCAATTTATACGCCTCTAAAATTTTATGGTGATTTTCTATGTGCAACTTAGGTGTGGCACAAGGTCGAAAGAATAGGGTTCCCAATGAGGATTGAACTCATTACTCAGTTGTAATGGTTCTAGCGTGAGAAGCTTCCTAACCATTGCACTACATTGATGTGCCTAAATGATTTTCTAAGTGTGGCTTAGATGTGGAACAATGCCAAAAGTGTGGGGAACCTGGTGAGAATTGAACTCACTATTTAGTCGTAACTGACCTAGCGAGACAAGCTTGCTAACCATTACACCATGTCAAAGTGCCCAACCTCAAAAATGTTATGATCATATTCCATTATTCTAGTTTTATGGTCAACAATGTGAAGGGGAAGGGGGAAACTTATCTTCTTTTTTTTTTTTTCTCACTTTTAGAAATACCTGAATGCATTGATAAGTATTCTTACACTTTCTTTTATTTATATGTATGATGGGCAGGACATCTTTTTGGTTTGAGTGGTAGCAGACTTCCAAAACAGCCCCTCTTTGGCCAACTTCTAACAAGCAGGTCAGTTGGAAGGTCACTCTTGCATTACAAGCACAAACTCAAAGACAATCTGAAGCAATGCAGTATCCCCTTATTTTCCTGGGGAAACAAAGCACCAAAGCACCTTGTCCTGTTTCTCATCTATACGAAAGTTTGAGTAATGCCAACTAGAGCATCAGTATCAACTGCATGCAAATATTAAAGTAAGTCAGTAGCATGCTGCTCCTCTTACTTGATAGCCTTACCTGCCATTGTGGCTTTGTCACATGCAGTAAAACAGGCCTTGATATCCACTTGCAGAAATATGTGGCAGTTGATCCTTAACCACTCAAACAAAATAGCTCAATCACATGTTCCGTCTGTCTAAAAGTTTGCAAAACACCTGCAGGCTTTGGGAGACACATGCATGTCCATAAAACTTGAGCACCTCCTTTATTTTACTGAGCCCTCATTTGTTGTCTGTAACAAGAGTCCACCATATAAATATACACGCACACAACACCAGATTTACACTTATTACAATAATTGATGGAATTTAGAGATTAACTGATATGTAAGGGAAGATAACTTTCGTAAAATAAATTTTGTCAATTTTTGTAAATATATCATTTTTGTAAATATATAATTTTTGTATAATTTTTATATAATTTTGCCTTCATCCAAGACAAACAGAATCATTCCAGAAATCAGTATTTATTTAAATGTTTAAATGTCAAAATATTCACAAAGGGTTGTAAATTCTCTTTTCTTTTTCTTTTTTTAACCATCTTTTTATATCATTTTTCTTGCATAAATTCATTTTATGCTATCAATAAAATTTATACTGCTACATATCAATTTAACAGTTCCACAAATGAAATTTAAATCATTTTTTTTTTTCAAAAATTTTCACAGGTTAAATTGATAAATAATATTTCTACTAGTTTTAATACATTTTTTTTTCATTTCACCCCAAGTAAGGCAATAAAGCCACTAAGATGTGAGGGATTACTGAGTGTAGAAGAATATCAGAAAAGAAAACATTTTTAAGGAGTGAGAACAATAAAAGAACAGGAATTAAAAAGACAGAAGATTACAATTGACATTGCATTTAAATTTTTGAAGATCAAAGTTGACTGGAAAGCAAGAACCTGGAAAAGAGTTCCACAAGCAACAACTGTGAGAGAAGAAATTGTTAGTATAGAACTTAGTTATATCAACCCATTTCAACTGTAAAATGATGAAACCTTACTGCCAATCAAGTACTGCACTTAAATTCATAAAGTCTAGAAAATATTTATAGAAAAGGTACAGGAAAGATTTAATATTTGATACTTTTTGTATTTAATTATTGTTTATGTAAGAAATTTTCATATTAAATTTTTATTCAACACTATATATTACATGTCTTTACACTAATACTTATTCTCTATGCTTTGTTTTTCAGGTTCATGCAAAGATCTGTTTCATGCCTATTTTACAGCTGGCCTACCAGAACAAGCTATTGCCTATATACTCAAAGATGTTGTCAAAGCACTTGAATATTTGCACTCCCGAGGAATTATTCATAGGTAAAAAAAAAAAAAATTATATTAAGTTTTTACTTTTGTCTTTTTTCTTAAAAACTCATGGTGGAAAATAGAGATGTTTGCTGTAGTTTCAGTAAATAGATTTTTTGAGGAGGAGTAGCTAATCCCATACCCAATGCACCTCACTTATCCAGGCTTGTTTTTTTTTTATGTTTGCCCAATGTGGCAGGTATAATAAAAAAAATAAGTTAAAATCCTAAAAGAAAAAAAACACAAACTCTAAAGTTAAATGTAACTGCATAAATAAGAATGATTGTCCATTAAATGGTGAATGTTTGAAAGAAGATATAATATACAAGGTAACAGTGAATGTTGAGGACTACCCCAAGAAAATATGCATCAGATCAACAAGACATTTCTGATTTCATAATCATAAAATGTCTACAAACACAATTAAATACAAAAAAGCATACAACATTATCTGGGATGTTAAAAAACAAAGCTTGGCAAATGCACCTCCATTAAGTGGGCAATAAGGAATCAGGCTCCCAGTTCTAATGTCAGAAATAGCTTTTGTAAACTGTCTGGATGAAAAATTGGCTGTGGACCCAAGGCAAGGTGATTTATTGAACATGAGATCAGAAATATTGGCGAGATGTAGACAAGTGCATAAAAATCTCCTTGCACATATAGCACTAGATTAGAAAATCAGCTAGTATGCTAATTAATTTGTATATATATATATGATATGGATTTTTTTTTAATACAGCATTCTGAAAACTATATTGGAGTTACAGGTCTCTTACTCTTTAATAAATGCAGTGCTTTTTTGATTATCCAGAATGGGGGTGGTTCACTACATTATACATGACGTGACAGTTTTAAGCTGTGAAGGTCAGGATTGGTAGATCTAAGGAATGGAGCTCATCTGAGTATTTTGCATAGAAATCATGATAGAGTTGCATGGGGATTGCAACATTTTGTCTGAGGGAAAGGGGCTATAAGGTGAAAAATAATTCATCAGCCACAAGGATGCATAGATGCTTCTGGACTATAAAAAGACTGGAAAGTGAAGATTGTGCAGCTCCAGACCAGATATGATAGCAGTACTCTATTTTCAGCCTGATCTGTCATTTGTAAAGGTAGATGATAGCAGGAGGAGTTCATTCGGGAAATGAATATAAATAACATTTTCTGACTGAGATGGTTTTAACTTACAACTCTAGTCTTGTTTTGTTATAATTTGTGCTTTAAAATTGAAATTCCCTCTATCTTACATATTTATAAGTCTATTATTTGTCTTTGCTTTGAATATTGCTGCCACATCTGGCCTGCTGCTCCTGCTATACATTTACAGATTATTGATAAAATATAAAGAATCTGCAATATTATTCATCCTGACCTGGCATCTCAGCTTCAGTCATTTTCCCATTGCTGTAACTTGGCTTCCCTGTGTCTTTTCTATAAATACTTTATAGTAATTGTTCTGATGAACTTTCCTCTGTTGTATCTAGACTTTATGAACTTAAGCACAGCACTAGATTGGTGGTAAGATCTCATCATTTTACAGTTGAAATGGTGAGATGTAACTGCAAGTTCTGTGCACTTCTTCTGTCTCACTTCTTCCTTGTGGAACTCTCTTCCACCTTCATGCTTCCCAGTCAACTTTTATCTTCAAATATTTCAATGCAATGTCAGTCGTTATCTACTGTCTTCTTAATGCTTGTTCTTTTAATTGTTCTCTCTCCTTAATAGTGTCTTTTTACTCATATTCTCTAACACTCAGTAATCCCTTGCATTTTAGTGAGTTGTTTTTTTGTTTTGTTTTTTTGGTTTTTTTTTTTTTTTTTTTTTTTTTTTGGCCTTGTTTGGGGTAAAATGATTTTAAAAAAGGAAAAAGAGAAAGCAGAAGTAGTGACTAACTTAACATTTAGCACTCGGCATCATTTATAAATATTACTTCCCCTTTTACTTTATATGGAATCCTCTCAAAATATGGTGTTTTATATATTAGTTCTATATATTTGAAATTGCAGTAACCTGGCTCTCAATTTCAGTCAAGATTGTTTTAGGTGTTGCCATAGAAGGATATGACTACACAATCAAGAAATTCAAATTCAACTGTCACCTACAGAGGGCCAAAGGTTAATGAGTTTTAGTAAATGTATGGCAGAACAAGGACAAAGAAGGCCGGTAAAGGGACAATAAATACTTAGAACAATAAAAGGCAGGAAATTGTGGAGAGCCATGATTGACAATATTCTGAAAGCACATGGGATATAAAAATATTTTGCTCAACTACACAGCTTTTAAATCATTTTATTCAAGGAAGAGAATCCATATCAATTTTTTTTTTTGGTGGGGGGGGTTCATTCTTTGGTAAATCTCTTGACTAACTCATGTTTATCTTTCAGGGCTGTGAAAGCTAGTCATGTATTAATATCTGCTACTGGCCATGTAAAACTCTCCGGTCTTCACAATGCTCTCTCTATGATACAAGGTGGCAAACGACTTCGAAGACTGCATGATTATCCAGCCACAGCTGTAAACACTCTACTTTGGTTAAGTCCAGAAATTTTGGAACAGGTAAGCAGAATTTGAAATTCTAAAGTGCTCACTAACATGATGTTAGACAATTTCATATCATTCAACAAATATATATATATATATATATATATATATATATATATATACTCAACTTAATCTAAACTGCCCGGTTAGCACGACAGAGTACCCAGACGACTACATCACTTGTAGAGATATAAGACCAGTCTACTGTAGGCAAAGGGAACACTTTCTGTGTTGATATTTGAAGACTTGGGTATTAACCTACATCTACCTTTTTTGATTCTGGTATAAAAACCAAACATATGTCTACCATTTCAATTCTAGTATAAAATCTGGACCTACACCTACTTATCGATTGATTGTAATTTTTGTCATATAAGACTTATATTCAACAATGGATAATCCAATAAGTGTTTGTAAGTCATTTGTGTGTTTGTTATTTCCCAAATGTTTAGTTTTCTTAAAAACAAAGCTTTTTATTTTTTCCAACAATAACAAAGAATGAATGAAATAACTACAATGGAAATTTATACTCCCAAATATAAAATTAGATATGAAAATAGTAAACTGAACAGTTTTTAACATTGAAAGTAAACATTTTTGGGAATGCAGTATGCACAAAACATCCTTTATAGTATTACTCAAATTTCTAAACAAATATTGAAAATACTTAGCCCAATAAATGACAAGTCATTTTGAAAATAAAGTTTCTTATTTATTATGTTGATTGTATGTTTATAAAGACCTTTAAAATTAAAAAAAAGAAATCACATGTAAAGATAAATGTTGCTTTGTTTGTTGTTTTTGTCATTTTAAAGAAAAAACAATTTATAAAATTAAGTGAAACCTTCTGATTTGAACCTCTGATCTGAAGTTCAACAGTTCTCTCTCTCTCTCTCTCTCTCTCTCTATATATATATATATATATATATATATATATATATATATATATATATCTTAACATAGGACAACTTAAATATTCCAGTAAAATTGTCTTTGGTTTATCAGATTTTTTGGGGTTTTAAGTTATCTAATTATTTCTATGAGTCACTTTAATTTTTTATTTCTTTTCAAATAATTTTGATGTGTTAAAATTTAAAATAATGAAAACTTAAAATATATGAAAATGTTTGAAAGATTTTATTTTAACACAATAAATATGTAATTGAGTTTTTTGTTCTTTTTGGTTTCTTTTTAGTATAAATTTAAAATATTCCAGTTTAACCCAAAAGTTTATTACTGAAAAAACCAGGCACTTTCAAAATTTAAAAAAGAAAATTAAATTGGAATTTCTTCAAAAACAATATGTCAATGGTTCATCTTTGAAAAAGAATTCTCAGAAAAGTTTAAATCTAGCCATTAATTTTATATATATATATATATATATATATATATATATATATATATTGTACTTAATAGTTAAAAGTTTAAAAACATCTTTCCAACTTCAAGTTTTCAGATACATTGCTTGTCAGTTGGGCAAATCTATTAGGATAGATGATGAGTGGTGTATCTGCAAAACTCAAAAAGATAAATCATTTTTACTTTTCATTGCCAATTAACTATTGTTGGTCTGTTTTTTAATATTGATCACTTTCTTTACAAATATCTGCTCATCTTTTAACATGTATTTTACTGGACTACGTGTTTTATTAGGCCTTAACATTCTAAGTTGTTGTTAGTATTATATATATATATATATATAATATAAACCTCTCATGTACGAAATCCCCCCCCCATTAACAGACTTTGGATGCAACAAGCAAAATAATAAAAAATCTGCAGTAAAAAAAAAAACAAAAAAAAACTTACAAATCACCAGTGATGTATTTCAAAATTTGCAGGCTTAGCAGAACAAGTCATATTAGTTCTCAAAGTGACCACTTGACAGCAGTGGTGGGCCTTTCAATTGTAATCAAAGACCAGGGTACAGTATATAAAGTACGATAGATTAGTGCATGCATGAGAAAGTAGCTGTGAGAAATCTATTATTTTTGTTATTTTGATTAATATATTGTTCTGCCCTCATCATAGCATCGAAGCAAAAGGAACATGTAAAAAGGAAGCGTACAAACCTAAGTATCAGTGACAAATTAGAGCTTGTTCCATCTGCAGACAGTCAGCTTTAACGGATCACTCTGCCCCCATATTAGTCCGTTGATGAGAGGCTTGTCTCTCTGTGTGTGTGTGCGTGTGTATATACATATAAAATTTGTCACTTTAGCTGATTGATGTTATATTCAGCCCCTAGACTTCAGAGTTTCATAGACAAACCTTTTTCGTAATCCGTTTGGTCCGCTTATCAGAAGATATCAGATGATTTTTTTTTTTTTTTTTTTTTTTTTTAACTTTGAAGTATATTAATATAACCATTAATTTTTTAATAGTTACTCCAGTTTGGTGTTCATAAAAAGACCAGCTAGGATGATCCATAAAATATTTTCTTCTAAATATTAATTGCATATATAAAATGTTTTGCTAATTTATTTTTCTCTTTTGTTATTGTCAATACCTAAACTGAATAGGGACTACATTCCCATTCTTGTTTAGGGGAGGCTATTGATAGTCCCCACTTTTCATCTATTTAAATTAGACTATCACTTGTACACACAGCTATAGCAATTTGGTAGTAGAAAAGAAAATATCAACCATTTTATGGTCCATACTGATGTGAACATAATTGAAGAATTATTCATATTCTCCATTACATATTCTGTTTTTATCTTTCAGAACATGGCTGGTTATGACACACGTTCAGACATATACAGTATTGGGATTTTAGCTTGTGAACTGGCCAATGGCTATGCACCATTTGCAGATATGCCTGTAACTCAAGTAAGACATTTCTTATTTTTTTAAATCAATATAGGAAACTATTTCACAATGATTCAGTTATCTTTTTTTTCTTTAACACTTTCACTGCTGCCTTGTTATAGCATTGTTGTCTGGCTGTACTGGCCTGTTTTGGGTAAAATAGAAAATTGCCATTTACTAAAAATACATGACTATAATAACACTTATGATCATAATCAGTATTATTAGTCATTTATTTCTAAATAAATTATAGTAATTTATTTCTGCAGTACAGACTAAGCTAAAGTTTTAAAACAAAATTTTCTCTCATTCTTATTTTTTTTGGCCACCCAATATTTTATAATATTGATCTGCAAATAAAAGCATGAAATTTGGTTATAATTATTGACTTGTATTTCTCAAATCTCTCTATTTTTAGATGCTACTAGCTAAATTAAATGGTACCAAACCTGTGTTGCTGGATAGCCGGACTGTATCAGAGCTCAGTGGAGTAAACAGTAATACTGGTAAGAAAAAAAAATCTTTTTATTTGCACTGAAATCATAATGTCTTTAAAGTCATTCAAAACTTTGTTTATCTTATTAGTAAACAATAAGATAAAATTTTCAAGCTTCCTGACTCAGAATTTTGTATCTGCTCGTCAGGGGTTAGATGATAAATAGTGATGGGATGATACCAATATTTTTATTGATTCTGATACAATTTTTGATATTGTTCTAAATTTCTGATTCCAATATCTACAATGATTAAAATTCTATATTTTCAGATTCTTCAGTTGTTTTGGAAAACTTAATGAACAAAAGTACATTTATTAATAAAACATTTTAATAAAAAAAATGAATACAAAAGCTTATGGAATAAAGTTAGATACCCTTTTTATTTTAAAAAAAATTGGATAAAGAGAACAATTTCTTTACACTTACAGTTGTAGCTTTACTTTGATTATCATCAGAAATCTTAAACTTCCAAATTACACTTTTCTGCTTGGCATTGGATGCATTTGTCATAACTGGAGTCTGAAAATAAGAAACATTGGTTAATATTTAAATTTTTCACTGTTGGATAAAAAATGTTTCTAGTTTTCTAATGTGGAAAATTTGTAAAGATTCAACTAATAATGGTTTGCTATTAATCTATATATAACAGACAATTGTCTGTATGTATGTATGTATGTGTCCAGCTAAAACTAAAAAAACTACAATAATTAATGACAAATATATATATCAGACACATTATCACCCAAGCCAACATTTTGTAAAAAATTATCATTGTATGATTTATATTTACAAAGATGTTCTAAAATTAAAATGTATTAGGATGCATTCGAAATTCTCAGAATTAAAAAGTAAAAATGAACGGTAATAATTCTTATTCCTGATTATTATTACCATTCATTTTTACTTTTTAATTTTGCTGATACTTTCAAAACACTATACATGTATGTATTTTTAAAATTTCAGTTCTCTTGAATTTATTTTCATATCTATAGTAAATAAAAAGCTAACTATAAAAAAATGAATATTAAAACAACAAAGTAAATTTAAAATAAGATTATTAAATACAATTATTTGACAAAAAGTTTAATATTTATTCATTCAAATATTCAAGTGTGTGTGTCCCCAGTTAAAACTAAAAAACTACAATAATTAACAAAATAAATATATATACAGACTAAAGGGGTATGTGTGTGAGTGTGTATTATTGACTTATTTATATTTTTGGCCATCTTATGGAAAATAATTTTTTATTCAATCTTTAAAAAATAGACTTCATTGTTTGTAACAATATAAAAAAGTAAATAATTTTAAATTAAGTTTTATTAAAGCAAAAAACTATAGTGAGCCTTATTTTTCAAAAATTAATTTAAATAAAAATAATTGAATTCGTAACACAAATATTCAACACGATTAATGTTGACCATAAGTCTGTCTTCGCTAAATTTTATTTAACTAAAGTTTTTTTTTTTCCCTTTTTAAATACAAATATAACTTGAAATTTAAACATTATCGCTTTTCAAAACTAAATTCTTAATGTATGTTGCTTCTACTCTCTTTCAAAATAGTAATTAAATTCATTTATGGAGAAATGTTTGCTACTTTAATATTTAAAAGTAAAACTTTCTTTAAGAACATCTAAATAAAGTAAATAAACTTAATTAAGATCTATTTAAACATATTTAATTTAATCATTTTTTCAAACAGAAACTATAGTGAGCATTACTTCTTCGAAAAATAATTATTTACTATTTATTTTGGAGGGGAATTTAAATTTGTATAAGTAAAATTTTATTCTTAAGCATTACATTAAAGAAGCAAACATTTCTGCATAAATGAATATATGTAATAATTAATACTAGTATATATATATATATATAATAATTAATACTATATATATATATATATATATATATATATACTAGCAGTAGAGCCCGGGGATGTAACAGTAAGTGATAGATCAAGTATCAACCATCATAAAGACTGAAAAATAAAATTGACAAAGATTATTGTTTAAGGTTGACGGACATGCATGTCTTAATTATTTTTTTTTTTTTACGAATTGGTCAAACCCAAATTCAAACAAAAACATTGTTTACAATCATTATGAGTCTATCGATTGGTGAATAGAATTTTATTATAAACAATTGTCTTGTAAATGGAATTTTTAAAGCATTCTGAATGTATAAATAAAGAAAAAAGTGTGCAAGACAATAAGAAATACTACCTGCCAAAAAAAAATGTGGATGTTTGTTTTATCGGCTGAAAAATGTAAGAAATTCGATCCCATATATAAAGGAACACACACACACACACACACACACATACACAAAACCTGGGTTTTTTAACCTAAGTCACTCCACGGAATCGCTAAAACATAGAGCATAGTCTGATGAAAAAGACGCCAAAGTTTATGAAAACAAAATTTTATCGTCAAAATGCTTGTTTTTATGAAGAGGATAGACTAAATTTTTTTTTAATTATTTTTTCAAATTTTTCCATCTTTTTAGAATATTCTAAATTTTGATTTAAAAAAACCTTGTTTCTCTTTGTCACAACAAGGGGTAGTAAATAACAGATAATTTTTAGCTGTTTTTTGTATTTACACATTAATTTGGAAAATCTTGCAAAAATAAAAATAATTGTCAGATGTTAATGAAACTTTCAGAAACTATTCACAGATGATCAAAATTATTATAAATATGTTTTTTTTTTTATTAAAGTCATGGCAGAAATATTTTTTTTTTATATTTATTAACACCCCCATAACTAATTTTATGAAAAACTAGAAATTCGAGACCATCGGTTTTAGTGATTACAATAGTTAAAAGCACAAGGCTTTGAAGAATGCAAATCATGTTTTTTTTTGGGTTTTTTTGGCCAATGTACCTGAAAATCAGCTATGAATTGTAACATACAAAACTCAATAAAACAAATATATTATTTAGTTTCAAATGCTTTTATTTGTTTTAATTTGTTTTTATGAATATGGACAATATTTTCTGAAAGCAAAAAATTTTTTTCAATGAAAATTGAATTTTTAATACAATTATTTCTTATTTCTTTAATTTTAAAAAGATTTTTAAAAAATTTTTAAATTGAATTTTTAAAAATATTTTAACATTAGTTAAAAGCAACATCAACCTTTCAAAATGTCCGTGTGAGATTGTCATTGTCTAGCGCTTTGAAAATTGTATAATTTGGACCAATCAGATTAGCCATGGTAATTAAGAAATGTAATTTTTGTGTTTATAGTCGGACAGTAATTATCAAGTACGGAAGACCAACCAGAATACAATTTAGTTGCATTATTTGAGTTCAGCATTGTTCTCTGCTGTTAAGCCCTTTACTTTTGCGAAACATGTATGGAGAAGTTAATTTGAGTTTTCAATTTCAACTGAGAAGTGTACCTACAAATAACAGTATCATCTTATGAAATTTAACTACTGCTAAACTTTAATTTATATGATCTTATTTTTATATTAATCTCAGTTATGACATTTTTCCATAAATGAAATATCAAAATTAATAATAAAATGAATGAAAATACAAATAACACAGTAAAATGTAATAAATGTACATAAAATTATAGTATTTTATGTACACTTCTGATAAAATTTCATAAAAAAGGTACCTAAATTAATTAGATACCTTTTTCTTATGAAATTTAATCTCACTATTAACAGTCTTATTTTTTAATTTCTTTATATTTTCCATAAAGCATCGTAAACGTAAAAATGAAAGCTAAGTACAAAAAAAAAAAAATTAGAGTGCTGAAAGTTTTCCTTAAAAGTAACGAGGTAAATAATTTGTTCACTTAAATAATTTCACTTCCTTCCATCCGTAGAAAGAATTATCCTTCCGTAAGTTATCTAAACGTCATGAATGTGCCTTTCATCAATCATCAAGCAATGTGAAAGGTTATGACCTGCTTTGTTTTATTTTCAAATTACATTTTTTTCGGCAATAGAAGCTAAGTTAAGCTTGGTTCAAAATATTTTAAAATAAACAGTATAATTTCTGTTTTTATTAAAATCAGTTTTGAAAAAATGATTATTGATTTTTAAAAGAATATCAAAGTCAGATTTTAATCTTTTTTATCAAATTGAAAACAATGATTGAAAATGATTGATTATCTGTCCTTTTTTTTGACCAAAAAAAAACAATATTTTTAACGAAAATTTCAGACGTGCTAAGAACGATTAAAAAATGTAAAAAAAATACCCCAAAATACTTTGATCTTTCCTCTTTAATAATAATATGAACATTAGACGATAAAATTTTGTTTTCAAGTTCGGCTTTTGTTTCATCATGCTATGCTCTTTTGTTTACATTTTCGTGGGTGAGTTGTCCCCCTTTCATTCTCACGATGTGTCTTAATCGTGCTTTCAAATTGATTTTGTTAAAAAACAATTTTGTTTTTCCCATTTTCGGTGCTGTTAGAACCATCACAAGGTAATTTTATGTAGTCCTGTGAAGTTTTGTTGAAATCAGCTAAAAAATGTAGAAAATTCGATCCAATATATAAACGTTACAGACACACACACACAATCTGCATTTTATAATAAGTAAGATATAATAATTAATACTATATATATAATACTCATATGTGTGTGTGTATAAAAAAAAAAAACAAAAAAACACTCTAAATAAGACATTCAACAGGAAATCTGACAAAATTAGCTACTCTTGTACTGATAATATATACCAAATTATTAACTCCCATAACAATTACATTTTAAGTAAATTTCATGGGGAAAAAAACTAAATCTAACATGGACACCCCCTGTAATTGTAGAAATAAGAAAAATTGCTCTGTAGAGGAAAAGTACAGATCCACTAGGGTAGTATACCAGGCACCCATTACCCCTAAAGAAAATACGAGAAACCATAATAATTACATCAGCATTTCTGCAGGAAAATTTAAAAAGTGAATCAATATACATAGACATTCATTCACCAAACCAAAATTAAAACACAAAACAGCTCTTTTGAAAATAATTTTGAAAATTGAAGGGAAAGGGTTTGAATCCTCAAATAAATTGGAAAATTCTAGGTTTCATGAACACCCCCCCAATAGTTTTAAGGGTAGGTGCAAGCTATGTTTAGAAGAAAAAATCAGGATAGTAAAATATAAAGATCAATGCAAACTATTAAATCAATGGAGAGAACTAATTACAAAATGTAGACATAGAAATAGATTCCAAATTACATAAGAATACATGTGCATATATGTGGGGGTGTATGTATAGTGGCATATACAATGTGTAAATGTACACATATATGTATGTATGAAAGTGTGTTGGACAGCATGAGTTATTCCATTAGGTGCTATGGTATTACCCACAATCTATAATTCAATTAATTTACATTAATCGTAAGGGGCTTAAGTTTAAATCCCCCATCACTTAGTAATACAGAAACTATTTACTGTGAATTCCAGAAAAAAATACTCCAGGGCCTTTATAAAAAACACCACATAGTAGGAACTGATATTAAACTACAAACAAAAATCTTGGCCATAAATAAACTCCAAACCCACACCACTTCCCCCGGGATAAGATACCTTACGCCCCCACCAATTGCTAACACAAACCCACTCTCATTAACAAGGTGCCTACTAGAAGAAGACTGACTTTGAAAATAAATTTAGGACGATACTCCAAGACAAGCACTTAGAGGCTGACGATAACCATGTGAAGAACTGTTCGAAATAGACTATATCTATGTTGAGGTAATTTTTGGGAGTTTTTTTTTGTTTTTTTTTTTGCTGTAAAAAAATAAATATGCTCTGTTAAAATAAAAACATCAAGCTCTCTCTGGATCAGTTTGAATAATTAATATTACTAGGATCCATTTGGATTATATACCAACAAACAATTGCCTGTACTATGTGTGTGTGTATATATATATATATATATATATATATATATATATATATATATATATATATATATAAAATTTTGCCAAGGATTTTGTGGCTCTTGTCATATGAAGTTGCATTGACAACAGTTGAGAATATGGCGAAGAAAGTTAGATATTTCAGTATTTCAGTAGCTCAGCTTACTAAGAACATTGAGCAGTGCAGCTTTGTATGGAATATTGAATGCATTGCAACTCCTCTTCCGAGGAGTAGTTGAAGAGTTTAAAGAAGCAAGGAGAAGGGAGCCAATCCTATATAGGGATTAAAATGATCTTAAAGTTGCAGAAGCAGGAATAGGTGTTCAAACTGGTTGAAAGTGGAAGGCACCGCATGAACTCGGTAGAGGAGAGCATAGGTTCAAACAGAAAAGCACTAGTAGGAATAGTGACACTGGGCAGATCAGGCCTAGGTTACTGTCCCAATCCTCAAAGTGGAAGGAAAAAAAAAAAAAGAGGAAAAATTGGAAACACTGTCTTCAATATGAAATGAGAGTAGGTGTTGATGAAAATTACATCCAGTAAAATGGTGGCCTTAGGTCAACAGGTGGCCTGGACAAAATGGGGAGACCTAGAAAAAAAAAAGATTTCCTGAATGGATCTCTGTAATACAAACTTCCTTGTGCAGGCAGTTTGATACATTACCCAACCTGGCAAACCTCCACACATGATGAGTGGGTCTCCACTTTGTCCCTTGTGCTAGAAGAAAGGATCCAACGTGTATTAAGTGGTTGCCTCAGTTATTAAGAGTGGGGTGTTATCAGTGAAGTTTTTTTAGGAACCATTGCAACAATAGTCTCAAGGAGCCTCCAAACAAACCAAATAAGACATTGATGAATTTCATCCAAGCTAGGGAAAAGGTAAAGACATTACAGAAGAAGAAAACCTCCCTCCTTAGTCCTGCCTCTGGCTGGCAAATGTTAGTAGATTTAGGCAGGCAGCTAAAATTCCTAGTGAAAATAATACAGACTAAGCTTTGTCCAGACATGATTATTTATTCAAAAAAGACCATGCAAGTCATCATGTTAGAACTAACAGTCCCTTGGGAAGAAAATGTGGATGAAGCCCACGAAATGAAACTTGGGAAATATTTACATATTTTAGAGGAATGCAAAAAAGGCGTGGTTGGCAAAACTCGGTGTGAACTGATTGAAATCAGATGCAGAGGTTTTGCTGGGCAGTCACTATGTAAAATGTTGTCAAAATTAGGTGTAACAGGTTTGTAAAGGAACAGGGTCATTTGCTCAACAACAATGGTTGCAGAAGAAGCCTAAAGATGGTTATGGCTTAAAAGATCAGGTAGATGGCAGTAAGGAAATGAAAGGAAGTTGCATTTGGTATTATTTTTATTATTATAATTATTTTTTTTTTTATTTCTTTGTTCGTGAAGGAACTGGAAGGTAGGTCTAGGGTATGGCCTAAAACTTCACCTAACAGTAGAGTATCAACTTGGGGACATAATTAGGGTACCCTGAACCATTGTTACCTATAGGTGATCTGTTGCTAAGATCTAGCACCTGTTTGCCCCCCACCCACTGCTAGGGTTACAGTTTTATGGATGTTTATGCTTGTGTGTGTGTGTATATATATATATATATATATATATATATATATATATATATATGTGTGTCTGTGTGCATGTATATATCTCTGGGAGGGAAACAAATTCTTACTTTTTACACTTCAAGACGAGCATGTCACCATGTTCCTTACTAGATTGAAATGTTACTGCATTTGCTTCTTTTATTATGGAAGAGGGTACATTGCTGGTGAACCTGAAGTTATACATGATAGGACTATTAATTGCCAAGAGGGGTTGCAGTATGTGTAGCTGTACACAAGTTGATACCCAATCAGTATTGACTGGGTCACCGCAGAGAGTGGGGTATGATGTTGAAAGACCTCAAGCCCCTAATGAACATTGAGTAGAAACATCACTGATGACATGTACCAAATCATCCAATAGATGTATTTTAAGAACGTATATGTATGTATATATAATAATTAATACTATATAGTGTCCACACTGACTCACCACTTGTTGAGGCACAACTGATATAGGTTTAGGTATTTCCATAAAATCAAGGTATTGTCGTGCCAACTACTATTACCTTTACATCCTGCTAACCCAAAACTTTTAGCACATCAGTTAAGCTTGCATGATTTACCAATATATTTTGTTTTGATGTTTTTTTTTGTGCTGTTCTGTCATTAAAGTTATTGTTTTGTTATTTTAAGGTTTCCGTTTGAATACAAATGTGGCGAAGGATTCACCTGCCTACTTAAGAACTTTTTCCTTTGCTTTCCATGGCTTTGTCGACACCTGCCTGGAAAAAGAATCACATCTCAGGTGAGTTAAACTCCACTAAACAATTATTTGTACATGTCACCAATTTGGTGACTATTTTTATACATAGCTTAGATGTGGCACAAGGCCAAAACTATGGGGCACCTGGTGAGGAGCAAACTCACTATTCAGTCATAATTGATCTAGCAAGATAAATTTGCTAACCATTTGCCTATATGATGATTTTGTAAGCATAGTTTCGATGTGGCACAAAGCAAAAAGTATGGTGAACCCGGTGAGGATCAAACATACTACTCAGTCTTAATTGGTCTAGCGATACAAGCTTGGTAACTATTACACTGTCGAAGTTCTCATACATGTCACCAATACGCATACCTTATATTAATTCCACAAGCAATGCTCTCTAATCTTATTCACTTAAAATAGATGTAAATTTCTTTTTACTGATTAATTTAATCTAATATATATTTATAGTGGCAGGAAATCCCAGATGTTCTGAATCAAATTTAATGTTAATAAGGAACCACAGGAACCTTTTAGGAGTTGATCTGTGGTGACCCCAATATCTACTGGGCTCCCCTAAGATTGGTTTAAAGAAAAAGAACAATTAAATTAGAAAATTAAAATTTCTTCTGTTGTGTTACATCAATAAGTACTCTAATATGTGATTCACACCAGTATTGTCTGAATCAAATTTAATGTCAATTACAAAACTTTGTTTTAAGAGTAGTTGATCTGTGGTGACCCCAATATGTACTGGGCTCACCTCAGATGATGCTAAAATAGATTCTGCACTTGATGTCCAGACCATTAAAGTAGCCAGTTGCACCAGTGGCTGCCAAGTGCAGATCTACCCAAGATGTGAACACATCAAGACAGCTGCATCTAGTATGTACACATGGGGTGGTGATAGATCATATGACAGGTAAATATATAGATACCAAACTATGAGGCAGCAGGGCAGAATCTCTTGCACCGTCTTATACCCGCTCGAACTGGTGGCTAGGATCAAAGTGTAGTATCTGCGCTTTGTGAGCTGCCGGGTCGGGTGTCAGTCGAACTCTCTGCTTGCAGAGAGGAACCCGGACGAAGCTCCGCCGAAGGGTAAGGTTTCATTAGGGGAGGTTGACGGAACTGGCCCGTCTCGGCGGGTTCTGATGGTTATTTATTTTTGGCTGGGCCTACGGGCTCAGAGATACCCACATTAAAAAGGCCTTGTGCCACATTCGATCCCCGTGGGTGGATTGATAAATACCATCTCTTGCACCTTCACAAGAAGAATCATCTCTATTTGGAGAAAGCCCCCAAAGACACATACTCACTTAACAACATAAGATTTTGAAATATAAGGTTATAAAATATCTTAATCTTGACTTTGTTCATCATGTTATCTTCAGAAAAAAAGAAAAATGTCTTTTTGACAAAATTAGCAATATGATCAAACATTGTTACTCTCTCTCTATCTCGGTAGTCCTAGGTATGACAATACACTACAGCAAAGCCTCTGATCGGGTGATTGGATTTTTTGTAGAGCATAAAACCAACTGTTAATTGCTGTTGTTCCCAGGTCCATACTGAGCCAGGGTGGTAGCACCTGTTAGGGTCCCAGCTATGGACAAATAGTGAACCCTCAAACAAAATTAAAACACTAAAAAATGTATTAAAATATATTTTTATAATAAAATTACTAACAATACTTATTTATAGTAAAATTAATAACAATACTTATTTATAGTAAAATTAATAACAACACTTATTTATAGTAAAATTACAAGTAGTAAATATTTATAATAAAATTACTAACAATACGTTTTTATAGTAATATGATCAGCAATACATTTTTATAAAAAAAATTATTATCAATATATATTTCTAGCAAAACTGAAGACATAGCATATATTGTCAAAAAAAACAAAATTGCTAAAATTAATCTCATTTTCTGTAAGTAGAAAGATGTTTTTACTTGTTTGATTTTGTAAGATTATTTGGTTAAAAAAATGCAGCTAAGTAATCATAATTTAATCATGAAATAATGTCATTCTCTTGAATTATAAAATTGGAATTTTTATGTTTAGATTTCAGTATTAGATAACATACAAGTTGACATGTCAATAAATGAAAACCATTAAACCAGTCTCCCTCAGAAATAAAAAAAAAAATTTTAAAAATTATTGACCCATTAAAAAGGTAGCCAAAATGAGTTTATCTATGATTGCTAAACTTATACAAGCTTATATAAACTTTTATATGGCATATACCTTCAGGATTTGGGTGATCATGACTCTCCACAGCTTCCTATCTTTTGTAGCTCTTAGCAATGTTTTCTATCCCTCCAACTGTTTATTTTACTGTCCATTTACACAAGCTCCTTACGTTACTTTCTGTTTCTCTCTGTTAAATTCTCCAAACCTTCTTTCACGTTATATGTCCCAAACCTTCTTTCACGTTATATGTCCCAGATGATTTGACTCGCTTCTGATTCTAAATATAATTGTCCTTTTTGTCTCCATTTTCCTTGAAACTTTCCTCATTGCTCTTAGGCTCCATACATGGTACCCTCAGCATCCTTCTATAGAACCACATCTCTATTACTTCATCTCTTCATCTGTCACCGTGTCAGCTGGACCTGTAGAATAAGCTGACTGTACCTCAACAGAGGGTTAAGAGCTCCCCACCCCAATCAATGAGGCCACCTGTTTGCCATGAGTGGCAACTCATGATACCTGAGATTGGGACCCTGACATTTGAGGACTTCAAGCATTAGGTAGAATACTCCTAAATTCCAACACACTACTTTGGCCCTTACTTGGGCTAGATGGCCAGTTAGAGAAGCCGAAGTTGATCAATTGGCTAATCATGTCAAGCCCTGGTACCAATCTACCCTCCAAAAACACAATAACTATAGAAAAAACAAAAAACATACACACACCAACCAAATTTAATCAAATTGGTACGAGAAGGCAGTGGCAAGGGTAAATAAGGTCATAACTAAAATGTATCATCAAAATTTAAAACTTATATTCAGCTTCAGAGGCGTAGAAGAATAGAAGAAATTATTGATGACTGCATATAAATACTAAACTTGAGTATACCATTTTTGTATCCTTGAGATGCTTGGGTGAATGGGATTCCTCCTGTCTCCCACAATAGGGCTCTGAAGAGGGTAGAGAGCAAGAATGGTGAAAGAAAACGTATATATAATATAGCAACAAAGAAAATGAAATGACCCGTCTCTGAATCAAGTTCTGATAATGAATTGGAATTTCTCAATCACTTCCCACAATATATAGTAAATGAGTCACTTGAAGAAACTCCTATTACAAAACTATCACCATTCATAATCAAAAAAATGATATATTTCTAAATTACTCCTATATCTATTAGAGAAATATTAAACAATACAATAATAGAAATAGGAAAAAAATTAATGTAGAAAAAAATCCTCAAATGGTCACTATTTAATAACTTAAAAATCAAAACTTATCCACCTCAAAGTCTAAGCACGTCCAGAGGTGTAATCAAAAGTCCAGACTTAGCAAGCTTGCTCCCAAGAAGAAATCAAAGTTAACCTAAAAACCAAAATATAATAGATGTAATCAGAATAACAATTAAAAAAAATAACCAAACCATAAATAGTAATACATACATATTAAAACCATCATCTGAAATAAAAATAGATTATATCATTACAAAAGTGGAAACTTACATTCCTAGACCTCTAAGATGTTATAATTGCTAAAGATTTGGCTATCATAAAGACATATGTGCTAGACTTCTGATATACCCAAAATGCAGCAGTACAGATCATCAAGAAACCAAGTGCCAAGGTGCCGTAAAATGCATAAATTGTAATGAGAATCACCCTATATACTCACATCTATGTAAAGCTTGGCAAAAAGAAAAAGAAATAATTGAAATCAAATATAAGAGAGATATAACTTTTCCTGAAGCCAGGAAAATCATTGAAAACAACACTAGACAAAATATTCTAATAAATTACACAAATGCAACTAGAGCCCAACAACATGGTGATGAGAGAGTTGATCTCTGTGAATTAACAGCTTTAATCCAAGAACTAAAGAAATTAATTGAAATAATGAAAACTGATATAAACAGGGAAAAGCTATGATTTACACTGCAACTCGTACTAAAATCTGATATACTCAACCAAAATATAGAAAATTCTAACTCGTTAAACATAGAAATTAAAAGACCAAAAGAATCATCTTGTCTCACATCTCAATCTCATGAAGATATGGTATTGTGAAAAACTTAAATGAAATGAGTCTCAAAGGAAGATTACCAATTCTTATCAATAACTTCCTGACAGAATGAACCTTTTAATGTTCATATTGGCACCACACTTTCAGACCTATATGAGCAAGAAATGGATGTCCCTCAAGGAAGCATATTATTGGTAATGATCTTCAACATCAAATAAATGACATCATTAAATGCTTGAACCCTGGCGTTGACTGTTCACTGTATGTAGATGACCTTTTTTAATGTTACAGATAAAAAATACCCATACAATTGAACAACAATTCCAATAGTGTCTTAATAAAGTAAACAAGTGGGCCACAGAAAATTAATTCAGATTCTCCAGACAAAAGACTCAATGTATACACTTCTGCCAACTTTGAAAGCTACATCATAATCCTGAAATGAGACTTGATGGCACAGAAGTGCCTGTAGTAGACCAATACAAATACCTAGGAATAATATTCAACAAAAAATTATCCTTCATACCACATATAAAATATCATCATGAGAAATACAATAAAGCAATACAACTACTCTGAGTCATCTCATAGATAGAAGCTACTGAAACTATATTAGGCATTAGTTAGATCCAAATTGGATTATGGTTGCTTTATCTATGGTGCAACAAAAAAGAACTTAATCTCATTCATCACCAGGGTCTTCAACTCGTTCTAGGAGCCTGCTGTACATCCCCAATAGAAATCCTGTACACCAAATCACATATACCACCTATGGCATTAAGACAACATAAGCTAAAATTACAATATTATATCAAACTATGTTTATGCCCAAGTGATTTAGTATACAACTGTGTTCTCCAACCTCAATATAAAGAATTATATAATTTAAAGAAAACTGCCATTAAACCCTTTGGCATCTGCATAGAAAACAATATCAACAAGCTCAAAATAAACATTGCTCTAATACATGAGACTCTTCTCCCCCAAGTTAATAAAACACCACAGTACTATTAAATCTAGCAAAGCCATCAAAAACTGAAACTAACACATCCATCTTCATGGAAGAAATTCATATCTTACAAAAAAATACACAAATTGTAAGTACATATATACTGACGGCTCCAAAAATATTGATAGAGTTGGATGTTCAGCTTTACTCAACGAAAGAACATTTCAAAAGCGCCTACTTGACAAATCCTCAATTTTTAATGCAGAAGCTTTGGCAATAGACTTAGCTATGGATATCATCACAGATTGGGAGTCAGATAGATTCATTATATTCTCAGACTACATCATTGAAGTATAAAAATCTGACTAATCCTCTAATAACCAAATAAAATCAATAGACTTTGTAATGAAAAACACATCATTATCTGCTGGATCCCTAGCATCCAAGGAAATGGAAATGCAGATATGGCAGCTAAAGAATCACTCTAAAAATGAATATATCAAAAATAAAAGTTCTTCACACAGATTTCAAAACTGCTATTGATACATATATTTTAAATATGTGGCAAGAGTTATGGCATACGCACCCAAATAATAAATTGTGTAAAACCAAACGTACACTTGGAATAAGACACCATAACACAGGTCTTTCCCAAAGAGATGTAGTAGTTCTAGCAAGAATTAGAATTGGTCATGCCAACATCATTCCTTCTAAAAGATGAAGATCCACCTAAATGCATTGTATGCCAGGAGACGTACACCGCAAAACATTTTATGATGAACTTTGCTGAATTTGCCTCTACCCATAAATGCCTTTATAAGATGAATAGCCTTAAGGAACTTTTCAAAAATGTAAAAACCATTTTGACCTACTTGAAATAATACACCAAACATGAACCTATAAGCAAACTATACAACCAGTTCATTACAATCACTTATTTGTGTTTAAAATAAGATATAGAATCCCAACAAAGTTTTAATCTGACAAATGGAAGATATTTCATTGAAACTAGATTTGATTATGCATTTCACCTTTCTAGGTTTCATCAGATCCAAAAATGAGAGAAAGAAATTTGTGTATATGTATTTGTGTATATGCTTAAATAATGAATTATACTACTTTTTCCCTAAGCTAGCATTTCTCATGATAAAAGAAAATTAGTAACTTTAAAAAAAAAACCATTAATATTGATTCTGTATCTTTTCTTCATGTCAAAAGTTGTTAATATATTTTCCCAGGTAAATCCTCATCTCATTTTCAGAATGGCTTGAAAGAAAGAAAGCCTATTTTAAACACATATTGTCAACATGGAAAACACATGAATAGACCTAAAAACATATAAACATATAAAATATCATCATGAGAAATATAATAAAGCAATACAACTACTCTGCGTCATCTCAGAGTAGTTCTTTTACTTTCAGCTTATTCTGAAGGATTGGAGGAAGATTTGCCTTTGATTTCTTTCAGAAAAGGCTATATGAATTTCTTGCTTTCAAGATATTCTGAAAAGTTTTCCTTTTGTTTTTATTTATATGAGAGTATGCATGGATGTTAACAAGCTTGTGGATTTTGTGTGTATTTGTAGGTGAAGGTGTGTCTTCAATATCTAAACAAAGATAGAAGAAACATACAAAAAATCTTGAGTTTTTGCTGTGAACATTTATTCCTTTTATGTTGACTGTATTGAAATGATGTTAAAAGGGCTCTTGAGTATGTCTGGTTTTCTTTTAGTTCAAAAATTATTTATCATAAGTAAGGATAAGAACAGATAAAGATGGTTGAGATCAAATCAGCCTCACACTGAGTTGGGATGACCAAATCTCTACTTCATGAGTAGGGCTGCTGGAAACATATCTGAATGATCTCATTAGAAAGTGAAAAGAGAAAGATTCTTGCCTTTCCAGAAGTGGAGTCATAAAATTACAATTGTGACCAAAAACCCTTTTCCAGTTTTGCATCATGGGAAAATTAATTTTATTTTTTTTATTCTTTATTTTTATTTTATTTCATTCCCCCCTCCCTCACACACACACACACACACACACATATATATATATATATATATATAAATGAAAGTTTGACTTGTTTTTTCTTTTTCTTTTTTTTTTTTTATATATTTTGGAATATTTTCCTGGTTTCCAATGAAGAAAAAATACCAATTGTTCAATGTCTGTGATTATTTTAGGCTTTCAAAAACCATTAATCAAAGGGTTTTTTTTGTTGTTTATGCTATGTTGATTTCATCATTTTTCAAATATTGTTTCTTCCCATATCTCATTGTTTTTTTTTGTTTTTTTTTTTAAGTATTGCACCTTCATTCGTCAGTTTGTGTTGTCATGTTTTTTTATTTTTGTTGAGTTTATTTTTGTTTTAATACTTCAAGCATTTGTAGTCATTTTTTTTTTACGGTTTATATGATATAGTGATTTTGTGTTATTGATAATGATTTGTCAGAATTTTAGTGTTTTGATGTTGTCTTCATTTGTGGCATACAATTTAACTGAACAATTATAAAAAATGACTACAAATACGAGAAGCATTAAAAATAAAGGACAAACAACTATTAATAAGATTTTATAAAATTTAGAGACAAATGTACTAAATATATTTTATAAATAAATAAAAACATCAATGCAAATTTATGTTAGAAGATGCAATACTTAAAAACCCCAAAAAATTAAGACATGACTTTTGAAAATGTGATATTTGAAAAATGATGAAACTGACACAACCTAAAAAACAAAAATTCTCTTTGATGATAGCTTATGAAAACTAAAAATATTCAGACATTGGAGAATTTATATTTTAACTTTCACTTAAAACCTAGAAATTTGTCTAAAATTTACAAAAAAAAATTTTTAAATTTGTCTTTTTTTTTTAATTTTTTTTATTTATTTATTCTTAAATCTTGTTGTTTTTTAATCAAACTTGATTAAATGAAATAATGCTGTCCAGATTCATGCAATATATACATTGTTTGTATATGTATACTTTTTGGTGCTATCAATTCCAGAACATCCACCACCAGTTTATTGAGCCATGCATTTCTCAAAGGCCTGCGTCGTAGTACCTCAGATGTGCTACCATCTCTGCTCCAGCCAGTCACCCCACTCACAGATATTAGTAAATTAGCTAAAGGTCAGTATCTATCCATAGTTTGGGTTAAATTTTAATGAAAATACCTAACAATTGCTTGTTTTTCTTTAATCAATCCTTTGCCTTGTTGGTGGGGCTTAGAATACACCAACTGTAATCCATTTTGCAGAGGTTGTCCTGGATTTAACAATGATTTACATCTTGGCAACAAGGCCTCTGATTGGGAGATTAAAACCATCTCTGTTATATATGAATTTAGTTATATGCAATAAGATAATAATTTATATTTTCTGCCTAAATTTCTGGTATGAGGAATTATCATTATTTACATTCAGACTATTGTCCTCATCTTTATTGTTGTTATCACATTTCAGCCATTGTGTCCTCTGATCTTCATCAGGTTTATATCAATCTGGGTAACTAACTACAGGCAATTCTGAGCCTTCCTTTTATTTAATCTATGGAATTAGACTGTTCTCATTCAACTACACATGTCTAAGGATGTCTCATCTAGTTCTTATTTTTAGTACTGCTCAGTTATTGCTTGCCCTTTTCCACTCAGTCCAAGTAGACAATGCCTTGCCCAGCAATTGAACAAGAGACCCTAACCTTAGTGGATTAAAGCAGTCGTTCATGAATTTGGTGACATTGTGATTATGAGTTCAATCCCTGATAGATACAAATAATAAAACTGTATTTATTTGATGTTACAGAATTTTTGCTATATTTACACACACTCATCACCAACTTTATATAATGAATTGTCAAGGTTTCAAGCATACACACACACACACACTTTGACATTTATATATTAGATGAAGAGATTAAATTTAAAATAATAATCATAATGTTGTTATTAATTTGAAATTGATTTGAAGTTAAACATACATCCTTGTGCAAATTAATTGAAACAACCACTTTAGTTTCCTTTCTTTCACCATACGGTCAGTTTTAGACCCACTGGAGTGACAGGATGTAATCAATTTCTTTTTTTTCCTTAGATTAGGTCATTTGCAGTGGTGTGCATTAATATGAATCTATTTTCGGGGTGTATAATGAAATTTGTTTGGCTTTGAAAAATATTGCGTCATCCGTGATTGCATCAGATTTTCATCACACCCAGACACTATTCTCGACTATTGATTAGTTGTCCTACAGCCATTGTCTACAATGGACGTTACTCTGAGGAGGCCTGCGATAATTGTAATGCTTCTATGCTAGTCCTACTGCAGAGGTTGTCATAGCCTAGCATATGTAATGACTCCTCTAGACATAATAATTGTAAGTTCAATGCCTGGGCCAGGTAGTACAGGCTGAGATGAAGTGGAAGCAGAGTGAGTAATAAGAACAAGATGAGATATCCCTCGATATGGACAGCAGAACAAGAACAATCTATCCTGATAGATCAAATAAAGGGTTTAGTTCAAAATTCCCTGAAGGTTACATGGATCAGAAGACCTGAATAAAGCTGAAGGTCACAACGGGCCAAAACATAGTGATAACAACAACAAAGATGACGACAATAATCCAAATGTAAATTATAACTCCTCATCTCAGAAAATCAGGCAGAGATTAAAAATTTGTTCATATAGAAATGTCTTCATGTGTTGATTTTCTCATTTCAGTTGAAGATCCAAGTATTTCTGAGATATTACAAAAAACCCAAGATGTCAGTGTGGAAGATGTATGGATTTTCTGACAGTTGTCTTTAAAAAAAAATTTAAAAAAAAACTTTTAATTCCCACCACCTCAATACTTTTTTTTGTAAGCTGATATTTTTATTATCTCTGAATAAATATATATATATATATATATATATATATATATATATATATATATATATATATATATATATATATATATACAGATTCAAGAGACCTCAGTCTGTGAAGCTTTCTGACTGGTACCTCCAATTGTGTTTTGCGAAAAGTACATGGGAATCTACACAGAAACTGCCAACTATAACATTGCTCTCCTGTCCAAAAGCTTTTTGGAATCTATAACCTGGATTCCTGCTCAGTGACATCATTGTTCAATTGATGTTAATCATGAAACTTTTTTTTTCTGTTTTTTTTTTTTTATTTTTTTTTTTCCATTTATAAAATTGCATTTGACATAGTTTCATGAATTAAATGTCCGTTTTTATACATGGAATAAAAATTTGGTCTATTCTCAGATCTGTATGTTGTCATTATTTGCACACTTATATACCTGTTAAAAATAAACATTTCTTCACAATAATATTAAATATCCGAGCAGTAATCATGAAAATTCCAGTTTTCCTATTTTAATTTTCTAATGAGTCATAATTCTCAAGTTAGTAATTGAATAAACTCCTGTGACACTATGGTTGGGACACACACGTAGAAGAGCAAAGTGTCATTGTTTTTTCTTTCTCCTTGATCTTAAATGTTTGTTTTATTGCCAGTAGATGTGATTCTTGAAGTGACACCCCCTTGACTCGGCCAACTGACCAACTGATTGATTGATTTGTTTTTTATAGATTATTTAAAGCCAAAACATATTTTGAATTGTAAGAATAATTTTTTGTTGTGAGTGAATGTTACATTAACAATTTTTGAGAATAACAATAATTTTTCCCTGCTTGACCAAAGAGGAAGAAAAGATTGGTTTGTTTTTATTGTTTATCAGCCCTTTGGAACATTATTTGTGATTTTAAGAATAATTTTATTTAAAAAATTTTTTTGCAAGTGAATATTGCATTAACAATTATTGAGAATAACAAGGATTTATCCTGATACAATTCCTACTATTTAACCTTTCCCAAGGGTATTTGTGTGTAAGTCAATGTAACGAACCCAACTAGAATTAAAACTCTGCTCACCAATTTTTTGTTCCAAGTTGCTATCCATTAAACCATTCACACAGAGGAGGAAAAGAATGAGAATGTAAAGAAACATAGTTTTGAGGTCAAGCGACAACAAACTAGACATTGATTAGTTCCTGTTGCCATTTTATTCTCTAGATACATCATGTGAAAGCACGTGCAATACCCTGCTCGTGTCAGCCACCAACCAGGGGAGGTAACCGTTTCAGTGGCTAAGATGGTACTGCCACCCCTGGCGCCACCAGCTGCTTTTGCCACTGGACAGGGTATTGTTTTTGTATATATGTCAGTCTCTTATGATTTCTGTTTACAACTGCAACTGGATTTTTCAACATTGTGTTAAAATACACAACGCACTCATAGTGACCATTATTAATGACGTAGAATGGTAGGTAAACAGATGTTTTTCACGTTGGAAATAGTATTGTGTTGCAAGCATTGTTTTATTTAACTTTTATTTATTTTGCATCTTCACCAAATCCGACTCAATACCTGTTGAGCTATGGTCTGGAGATGGTGTAAAGCACACTTTAGGTTCTGGCCAATGATGTCCACCTTCAAAAGGAAGGACACGATTGACCATCCAAGAAATCCACAGCACCCAACCTCAATATGTAGCACATGAAATGCCAAACCGTTAATTCTACTAGGACACACTTATTTGAATCAGACTATGCTACAATATTAGGGTGTGCGTCTGTCTGGATGATGTGTACCAGAAATTGCAAAGGTGTTCTAAGATTAATTAATACCTCCACTCGGTAGTGTCATGCTGGGAGTTATTTGGGCTTTTCACACAGGGTGTTCACCTCCCTTGTAAAAAACAGATCTTAGGTTCTCTGGCCATTACAGGCTGTTTGTTGGCCTCTTCACTGTGTACTGACTAAGTCTATGAAACTCTTCCAGCAATTTGTTATGACATCACGTGTACATCTGCAATGAATGAGCATACAGAGAGCTCATGACATAAACTACCTCAATTACTTTGACATAATGTGCATACATCAGTGTCAGTGTACCCCCACAGCTTGAGGTTGGTTGCATTTGGTAGATCATAAGTAGATCGCTGAAGCAATGATATTGCTAAGGGATCCATTGCAATCAAGGTATTCCATGATAGCTTCATTGGATGAACATCATTCAATGTAGTCCAAGCACATTGTTTGGACTGAGAAACAGCAGTAGCTGTTCGCTGCTCTTCCTCAAAATAACTGATTTCTTCAATCACCATGTCTCATTTACCCTTTGGACTTTCTTTGGAGAAAAAACTGGTTACTCGTACAGCCCAGGCCAGGTTTGAGTCACCCCCATAATCTGGTTCGCAGTCTAGATTCTGCTCCTTGAGTGGATTCTACTGCCGACCATTTGGTGACAGTTTTGATATCTATCCGTAATCTGTGAACAAACTCATCGGCCAAGTCCTTCACCATCATGTGAAGGCATACTTTCCCAACCGTTGAACACCTCCATCAATGAGGAGATGGGAAGTTGCAGGTTTCCTGCATTGGTATAGAGTCCCACCGTGGAGAAGTGGGGGTGGGGATCTAAGCCACTTTCGCAAGTATTTGTTAATACACTGCTGTGTATTTGAGACAGAGTAATATCATACACCTGCAATGGCCACACAAGCCATGGCAGCAAACCATGTTGGTAGCATCAAGCTTTCAATTTGGCAGAGATGAGTTCTGTTGATGGATTCAAGTCTATTTAGTACCACTTTCTGCACCTTTTTACCACAGTGCTGATCAGTCAATGGAATTTCATACAGCCATCCGAGGCTCTTCACTGGCTTCTCTTTGACTGTCGGGATCATGTCACCCTCAATGCAGAAGTGAATCTCACTGACAGAGCCTCTGAGTAATGATAAACTCCAGATTTTCTTGGGCTTAGCCTTCATTCTCACCCACATGAAGAGCATATGGTAGACAGGACCAGAATGGTGATATCATCCATGAGTACTCTGGAAGGAGGAAAGGCCATTTGTTTCTTAGTCATCACTCCCCTTTGCTGTGTCCACTGCACCGCATAATTTGAATTTCATGGACATAAGGAAAAGAAGTGGTGAAAAAATGCACTTCCAATATATCTTTTTCTTCTGCTGTTCTTCTCAATCAAAATGAAATGGGCCATTATTTATCTGATGGAATGGCAGTTAGTATGCACGTACTAACGGAGAAACAAGCAAAATTATAATATTGTGGTACACTAGCTTTATTCAGATGGAGTTAATCTTAATAGCTCAACTGGTAATCCTCAAATTATATAGAGTATTAAGATAATTCTTTTATTATAACTGACTCTTTACAAGGCATATTGATTCTACTGTAGTTTGAGGTGCAATAAAGTTTTACAATATTGGGTACTAGCTTGATGTGAATTGCCTACAGGACCCCAACTACCCTACTGTTTACTCATAGCTGGGGGGGGGAATTGGATTCATGCACTCCTTATTTATGGAACTCCCTTCTGGGTCCATGCTTTACATCCAATTTTAATCTGCAATAATTGCAATGTCAATCACTATCTACTATCCTCCTGAATATTCTTCTCTTCTCGCTCATTATTAATGTTTCTGTTCCTAATTCTCTTGCAAACCTGTAACCCCTTGTGTCTTAGTGGCTTTACTGCCTTGCATGGGGTGATACCAATTTAAAAAAAAGAAAACAAGCCTTGACTGCTATAATCAAATCTTATGTGCAAGTAGTTTATCTTTTTGGTTCTAAGAACTGAGTTACTGTACCCTAATATGTTAAAAACAATGGGAGAGTCCAGTATATATATATATATATATATATATATAAGTGGACCTTGAGGTCAACATGCTGAGGTGACAGGCTGTTTCATGCTATACGCAATCATCAGGTCATATGCATTAACATGAAACAGACTGTCACCTCTACATGTTGACTTCGATGTCCACCTTTATCTCTACATATGCTCCATTCTTGATATGGACCACTTTAAACCATGAATATAGAATACCTTAAAACTATATTTTATATATATATATATATATATATATATATATATATATATACACACATACACACACACAGGGTGGCAATAAAGTCACTATACAGTTAATTACAATTAAGACAAATCATTTAATCAACAGTCCAGAAATTTATTTTTAAAATGATTCTTGTTTGAACTGCAATCTACCTGCTTCAATGCTTTGCTTTTTTATTAACTGTATAGTGATTTATTGCCACCCTGTGTGTGTGTGCGCGTGTGTTTGTGTATATATATATAATGTATGTATGTTTGGTTAAATAATTTAGATGTATTATGTCTTTTTATTTTAGGTTTTATCCTTTCAAGTCCACAAATTAATTTCTTGTTGGCTGTAGAAAATTGTCCACACTTACAGTTTAGACAGATATTAGTCAAAAATACATCAGTGTTCCATCAAGATAATAAGCAAAAACTTAAAATTCTGGAAGCCCTTTATATAAGAGAATTGTGGCCAAAAATGAATAAATTCAACTATAAGTATAGCAAAAATGATCTTAAATGTTTATAGCAGCAAAGTGTTATATTAAAAATATACTAAATTAAAATACTACAATTAAAAAATCATATAAGTTACCTCCCTTGCATAACGGTAAAAATATTTTGAATTTACAGTGTTAACACATAACACATCCATAGATATACAACCCCTGAAGATGGTCTCTAATGAGATTTAAAGTACTTCTGAAAATAAAATTATCTGAAAGAAAATTTTAAGATTTTTCTTCATGAATTTTCTACAGCCACCAAGAAATTAATTGGTGGACTTAAAAGGATTAAAACTAAAATAAATAAATATAATACATCTAAATTATTTAACCAAACATACTTGAATGAAA